TTCTTGATTAGTACCCAAAACCGTTCAATTGGACGCGCTTGAGGGATATTTGGAGCGTCGTCTCTTTTTTCAACAAAATCGATATTTTTGCTTCGAAAAAAGTCGGTCACAATCTTGTCATAGTGGGGTGTCGTCATGTCCATGACATGCTTGTTTTTGATGAAGGGGATCAATCTCTTTATGATACATCTTTCAATTAGAGTTTAGAATTCAAAGTCTTGCAAATAATAAATAATATTTCTTAAGAAAAGCTTTGCCAACTCTCTTCACTACTTTCACCGATCCCGGAGGGCAGGTCGGCAAAATGATTTTTTGAAATCTGCATTTCCACGTTGCTCGTATCTGTCCAGTACTCGATTAATTTTGTTCCAATGGATTCCTCCATTTGGAAAAAAATTGCGAGTGTTTTTTCGATCCCTGAAACAAAATTTTTCGTACGTTTTGGCAAAACCGTTTTGCGACTTCGTCGGAATTTTTTGCTCTCATTTTAGAACGAATAGAGATAACGGATTTTGGTTTTCGGATTCAGAAAGCTGATTAAACTCCGAATGAGACGTAATAGGTTCACAAAATTTAACATGACTCCTAAAACAATTAAGCGAGCGGGGCAAACTGCCGCTTTCATCTGTATCATGCCTTTATTTTACTTAAAACAGGGGAGTGTATCGCTGCTGGGTCGGTGGCTTAGTTGAGATGTTAGCCTCTCATTTTCTCTCTCCACTCTGCACAGTAGGCTATGGAGCGGCGGTATGGGACAAAGGAAAGGGGGGTAGCGAGTCCAGCGCTGATTCCTGTACCAAAAGATAGTTCAGAAAATCTAGATTATTTTACATATAACAACTTGGTAATTTCGTCTGCCCCATTCCGAGATATTTGAGTTCAAAGTTTTTACAATTTTTCCAAGGCAAGGCAAAAACGTTTTACTTCAACTTCACCCATATTATATGGGGCATCGTGAACACTTATTTGGCTCGCCTTGGAAAATTTGTAAAAACAGGACCAGGGACCCCGGGGGACCATGGTCCCCTGCGAGCTATGTTATCGAGGGGCTTATTTTGCACGTCGATTGACGGGCTTCTACACTAGTACATTTAATAATGTATCCATGCAAATTTGGATTTGCATGAAAATTGTGTATCACATTTGCATACAAACTATTTCCGTCTTCACTACAAAAGTCATTGCAGGCTGCAACAAATTTTGTAAAGAAAACGGATATACGTATGTCATGAAATTTACATGGCATGCAAAAATTTTTACCAGTAAAATCAGTACAGTCTGTATTCCATCATCATTTACAGAGTGAGCAGATTGAACGGAATAAAGTGTACTTTGCAAACAATGCGTTGGCCTTCTCCCACAATAATGTCCCATATACCGGGCCCTGTGCAGCCATCACTTTCTGGCCACACTACAAGTTCATTGAATTATAATTCAAACAAAAATTTACAAATTTCTGCAAAATAACATCAGGTTCTACCGAGACTTGAACTCGGATTGTTGGATTCAAAGTCCAAAGTGCTAACCATTACACCATAGAACCGATTGACAAAGGCAGTTTGGCCACAACTCGACTAGGCTTACAAGTTTTATTTCGGCCCCAAATGAGATCTGCGCAAAGTAAGCCCACTGCCAAGTGGGACCACTACATAAAGCATTTAATTATTATTTTTTACCTCCACCCACTTACTGAAACATATTAAAATAACATGAGAATGACGAGATACTTCAATTCGTAGCATCCTTTAATCTGGCGACATGCTTTCTGCACGGCCCCCCAGAGTCAAGTTGTGAAAGTTGATGCAGTTTTGTTACTTACAATGTATGGTAAATTCGTTGGCAAAACTTTGTTGCAGAGTATGCAACATTTTTATGACATCTTGAACTGAATCGTGATTAGAAATGGATGAATAGAAATTCACTCATCTGCACTTATCAATGCTTTATGCATTTTTATAACGGATCATTTTTAAAAGGATGCAAAATTATTATGTCATCCTCAAAGATTACTCTCTCTCTTCAATTCAATGGGATGTGCAAACTACTTACTACGGTCACGGTCAAATGTAGTGCAGATGGAATAATTGCATTTATTCTGATGCTTATTTATTTTATTCTGATATTTATAAACATTTAAATAAATATGCAGTTATGAAAAATAACGAAGAAGGGACCGTCATTTATCTGGACTGAACTAATCTGCTGCCGGCTTTAAAAGCCCGGCTTTTTGGAAATTATAACTTCATTCCTCATGAGAAAAGGATGAGGAATACGATGAAATCATTCAAAATATCCAGCAACGAATATTTCGCCCAAAAAACAGTAGTTTTCGACAGGTTCTATAATCTCGCCTGACCCTCAGTATAAAGTGGAGTTGCACTTAATAAATGTATGTATATCTGTAAATATATAGCTAACTCCTCCAAACCAACGACACTATCTTAACATTCCCCTCGATCTAATTAACGTCAATGTCATTGTCCGATTTAGCACAAAGCTTTGTATCACCAGTGGCGTCGTGCGATCAATAAAGTTCGATCCAAACTTCACCCTTAACACTGACCAGGCTCTAATTTCCCTTTTGGTTAGTGTCTTATCGTCCAATAACATAGCCTTGGTTGCCATGACTTTAATACTTCCGTCGACTCAGTGTGAACCCATGAGGCCAATGTGAAAGCCAGAATTATTACCATCATACCATTAAGCCCAATCATGGGAAATGTTATAAATCCAACACCAGAAATTTCACTGTGTAAATTTATGCACACAAATAACGCCAGAATTTCACATGCCGGAGCACACAGGACCAACCCTGGTAAAATTCTTCCCATTAAATATGAATTTAGTAATTTCTCCAATATTTGAATCGAGTGGTATAAGCGAGTGCAGGCATCAATATCCTGGGAATTTCTTATGGTGCAAATTTTCCTGAAATTTCAGACAGAAAATAAATAGCCGTACTTGAGAAATTACTTATTACATATAGTAAAAAAATGTCACCCATTGAGGTTGATAAATACGTTTCCCACTTAGGGTTCGATTAATTTCAAGTAAATTTAAGTTGCCACCTTTATTGGAGGCTTATAAATTTGATTTACGAAGTATTGTAGGAAATCGTTACCAACACGTGACAATTTTATTACCAATTTATTTTGCTAAACCTTCTCAAAATCTTCAGATAGTTCCAGACGCAGACGATCCCCACAAAAAATATGTAGAGCACCCACGTCGATCCGGAATAGATAATATGAAAGGAAGTCCAAACCTCGTACAGATGAACCACAAATTGCATCCCACCCAAAACGAAACCTGTTTGACCCCTTTCAAACGTCGCACTGCAATTTGGCATCAGTGAAAGTATAAATGGAGGCATACAAGGGGCGAAGGTAAGCAAGAAAAATTTCAATATTGGATAAACTGCGATGGATATTTCGGCCAAAACCACGAACATTTTCATAGCTTTTGTCCCAAATGATAAAGATGGACTAGGAAATCCTAAAAAATTGAAATATCAACTTAGGGTTAGTGAGATATTTTTTGTTAATTGCAAAACAAATTAACCGTAGTGAAGTGAATTAACCGTAACTGTAAATAATTCAATCAAAAATGGCATTGCGAACGAACATACCACTTTACCAAATTTTTAAACACTGTTAGAAATCCAATATTAAAATAATGGTGTATGACACTACCCACGTGGTATTGATAAAGTAATACCGTGTAGTAATACCTCGGTATTCAAGCTTTACCATATCGGTGCCACATTCTTCCGAACCGGTATAATTTTAATACTATCTAAGCGGTAGCGACTTTAATACCGAGAAATCAATACCTGCAGGATTATACATACCAAATTTCTAACAGTGAACTTACCACCAGATAACAAATTTATACCACAAAATTTATTTATTCACTCGCCTTGCAGAAATTTAATCTCAAAATGTGCAATCGTGTTAAAAATTTGAATTGGCGAAATGTCCACTGAATAATTCCACTTGGTCAGAGACACATAAAGATATATCACGAAAAATATCAATCCAACCATCCTCCTAGTCAAACTTGAGTTTCCAGAATAGATGGATAAAAACATTGCGATGCAGTGAATCACAGAGAGAACACATTGTAATTTAAAAAACCTTAGATGTCGGCGTGATCGTACCATGACAAATTTTCCTAAACTCTCGTCATACTCGAATTGCAAACATTTAAGAAATTGGCAAGGTTTCAATCTTTGCTTCAGTATTGGGAAGAATTCGGTAGAAAACATTCTCATCGTGAAGAATTATGCATCACTGTGTCCACTGGTCAATTTTCAAGTATTTTCATTCACATCGATTTCTAGTGCGTGGTATCAGGACAGGGGATCAATTTCATGTATTTAATAAGAGGTCACTATGTAATTTGCTGAGATGATGGTATAATTGGCAGAGATTAATATTTAATTCGAGTAATTACAGGATATGAGAAGTCGTTATGAAAGTGTCAGCGGATCAATTATGCGGCAGGATTTGTGCTGGGCATACATGTCTGTGCAACTTTGTGACGTAGTTATAAGTACATACATACATACATATATCTTTTTATAAGAAAGTACAGTCAATGGAAAAAGTATTGGCAACCCCCACGCCAGCTAAATAAAATTGGCTGTAACGTTGGAATGCACACTCTAAGAAATGACTTTACCTTGTTTTTGGGTTAAAAATTGGTTAATACTGTCGGGGGTAAAGTCAATGCGTGGGTGAGTAAAATTCATAACCCCATGCCACATTGCATACAAAATAACCTCGATACAGGTAAAAGCCACCGATTTACTCGTGGGCGTATTGCCACAACCTCATAAGGAGTTGTGGTTTTTTATCTCAAGTAAAAAGTGGAGCGGGTAATTAGATTCCGCAAGCCAGACCATGCCGCTCATTCAGTCTTCAAGTACGCCTCCTGCTGATGCAGGACTTTGGAGAAAATAGTTTCTTAACCAATTTAACTATTCAAAATTGATCGACATGAGTCAAACGGAGGTGCATCGAGTTCTCACTCAGTGTGGATTGGCCGAATATATCACAAAATTTGAAGGTAAGGCAATTTAAACATTCTTACTTCAGTTATTTGGCATGCAAATCATAATCAAATATTGTAGTTAATTTTTAATAATTAATTTCTTCCAGAGCATCATATTACTGATGAAGATTTACTGGAACTTTCAAAGGAGGACCTCGCAGAACTTATTCCGAGCATTGGACACAGGACAAAATTATTCAACGCGATTAGCAAAATTAACGCTGGCTCGGTATATGTATGTTTCAAGTGCATTGCTAAATATAAAAATCTAGATAGCTTATCGAAACATTTGACCGATTCTCACCAGTTAAAGATACACAGTGAGTATGTATGCCCACAATGCAAGGGTCATTTCCAACGACGGTCGTACCTTAATCATTATAGAAATTTTTTTAAATTCCATCCAGATTTATTACAAGGCGATGTGCATTTTAACATCCCGCAGCAAAATTTTGTTCGTAATTCTTTGTCAGTCCTTGATACGACAAATGATGAGGAAGAGGAGACCAATGTTCAATACCTAAAGAATTCAACCAAAGAGCTAGAATATTGTGTATCGAAACTTTATGCCTGTATCTTAGAATCCGGCAAAATTCCAATGTCGACATGCCTTAAAATCATCTCTGTAGTGAAAGAAACGGTGGATAAAGTTATAAATATTTGCAAAGGTGAAGTAAAAAAAGAGCTTGAACAAAATAGCATTGGACTAGATATTAGTTTTAACTCGTTCCATAATTTGACGGAAATGTTCAATAAGTTTAGTAGTAAATATAAAATGGACAAGTTTCTAATTAAAAATGATTTTATGATAGCCCCCAAAGAAATTGTGTTAGACAGTGATATTTGTTTTAAATCACATAATTTAAGGACTCGAGGTCAAGTTTACGAATCGGTAGTAATGCAGTATATCCCAATCAAGTTATCAATTGCCCAACTCTTCAAGAAACCAGGTTTTATTCGATCTTACAAAATCGTTCTAGTTACAATGGTGAGGTTTATTCAAATTTTTATAGTGGTAAATTGGCTAAGCAATTTCAATCTGATAAAAATGTCTTGTTTCTTAATTTATATTATGATGATGCGGAAGTTGCCAATCCGTTAGGATCGAAAAGCGGAAAACATAAGCTGGCTAATTTTTACTTTTCAATCCTTAATCTGCCACAGCATTACAACTCAAAACTTGAAAACATTATTTTGGTTGCTTCACTAAAAACGGAAGATCTTAAACTTTGTTCTCCAAACGCTGTAATTCGAATAATTGTTAACGAACTGTTGCAGTTATGGAAAGAGGGAGTGGCTATTCATCATAATGGTGAACAAATTAATATTAAAATCGTTTTAGCTCAGCTATCAGGGGACAATTTAGGATTGCACACTATTCTCGGCTTCTCAGAGGGATTTAATGCAAACTATCCTTGTCGCAGATGTAAAATGCAGAAAAGGGAGTGTCAAACTCAAGAAAAAGTGCAGCTTCGTTCAGAAGTTAATTACCAGCAGGATGTTGAAATTAATAATTTACGCGAGACAGGAATTAGTCAATTTTTAATGACTTGCCATATTTTCATGTCACAAAAAATTACGTGTTTGATATTATGCATGATTTGTTTGAGGGAGTTGGTCCAGATCTTTTTCATGCATTAATAAACCGTCGCAAACGCGCATACGGAAGTAGCTTCAGACGTACTTCACCCCAAACGGTCCCACCACAACTCGGGAACACTTAATTTCACTCTATTTCACCTATAGATTAATTTTTTGTAAAAATCTCATTTTGCCCCGACCACACCCCCTGGCGACGAGGGGGTGTGGAACAACTCGGGAACACTTAATTTCACTCTATTTCATCTATAGATTAATTTTTTTATAAAAATCTCATTTTGCCCCAACCACACCCCTGGCGCCTAGGGGGTGTGGCACAACTCCGGAACACATAATTTTACTCTATTTCACCTATAGATTAAATTGCACTAAAAATCTCATTTTGCCCCAACCACACCCGCTGGCGCCGAAGGGGTGCGGCAAAATCGGGGAAACACTCAATTTCACTTAATTTCACTTAATTTCATTTAATTTCACTCAATTTCACTTAATTTTACCCATAGAATAAATTGCACTAAAAATCTCATTTTGCCCCAACCACACCCCCTGGGGCCGAGGGGGTGTGGCACAATCGGGGAAGCACTTAATTTCACTTAATTTCATTTAATTTCACTCAATTTCACCTAATTTTACCCATAGATTAAATTGCACTAAAAATCTCATTTTGCCTCAACCACACCCCCTGGCGCCGAGGGGGTGTGGCACAACTCCGGAACACATAATTTTACTCTATTTCACCTATAGATTAAATTGCACTAAAAATCTCATTTTGCCCCGACCACACCCCCTGTCGCCAAAGGGGGTGTGGTCCGGTTGCCCCCAAAAGTTGATAGGATCCTCCCCCTGGGGTCCTATGTATGATGGCGAAAACCGATTTCGATTATCTCGATCCGTTCTCCTGATATCCTGCTGACAGACAGACGGACAGACAGACAGACAGACAGACAGACAGACAGACAGACAGACAGACAGACAGACAAAGTCTTCACATAAAGTAGCTGAAGCTACTTAATTAGTAGTTTAGTTTCGGAAAAATTAATTACTATTAATAAATTAAATTATCGTTTAGAATCATTTGATTTTGGTCGACATTATTGTGGAAGCCGACCCTCCCAAATTAAGCAGTCCTTTTTGAAAGGTGACACGAAGTCGGGTCAGAATGCTTCCCAAAATATTTGTTTACTATTATTTCTGCCAATCATTTTAGGTGATTTAATTGATCAAAAACATAAAGTGTGGTCACTTTATATTTTGCTAAATGAAATAGCTAGAATTCTGCTTTCGAATGAGATCAGTAAAAGTGGCTTAATTTACTTGGATTCGCTGATTTCAGAATTTTTGAATTCCTACACAGGTTTGATTAGAAAACCCTTAAAACCTAAGCACCACCACATGATTCATTATAGTTCAGCAATTAGGCAGATAGGTCCACTTCGACAGTTTTGGAGCATGGCGTTCGAAGCTAGGCACAAATTTTTTAAAACAACGGCTCATGTGATTGGAAATTTTAGAAACATTTCCAAGTCGTTGGCCTATCGTTTTCAACTCGCTCGATGTTTTAAATTACTAGCAGTAGATAAATTCACCCCACACACATTTGAATGCTCCGATACGGAAGATAATTTTTTGTCTGATATTTTGTGGTGGTATGATTGCAAGTTATCTTTGCAAAGAAATTTCCGAAAAAGTGTCTGTCTCACATAAAATAATTAAAAATGGTTCCATCTTTGAGGTGGGTGGATTTGTCTTGGTGGAACGTTGTACTCAATATCCCATTTTCGGTTTAATTAAATCAATTATTAATGAGGAAGACGAATGTTATTTCGTGTTGCAACATTTTAGTTCAGAATATGTGGAGCATTTTTGTGGTTATAAGCTAATTGATTCGGGTAATTTAGCTATATTAGATTGTAATGACGTTAAGTACTTTCAGTGTTTTTATCCGTCAATTTCATTCTGTAATGATTTAGAAAGGTATATCATACTACCGGTAAAATTTGTATAGTTATGTAAGTTAAATTTTAAGATTATTGAAACTGTTTATGTATATATTGTTTGTATAGAGTATTTAACGACAAATAAACCAATAAATGTATGAGCTAATTTGGTTTTGTTTTTTATTGAAAATAGGACTCTCAGTCATCCGGTTTTAGTGGTGCATTGCTAGGTGAACAGGAAATGAGAGAACGAGGATTGAGAGTTTCGCCAGGTCTTTTCCGGAAATCATTCACCCCAAAGGTTGGCCCCCATTGTTCCAATGTCTGCGAAATCTTACCAGAAACAGCTTTGGTGCAGATGAATCATCAGGTAAATTGCGGAACAACGCATCTAAAATACATTATGCGTTTATTATATAAACATTCCGTAATTTGTATCAATTCAATTCAATTCTCGGAAATCCACCTGGTCCAAATTCCAAGAGCGTGGAGTTTGAGCTTGACCTTTTGTCGCCAGGAAATTCTCAAGTGCTTCATACATTTGCAGAAAATCGGCAGGCTAACACTCGCGAGATTCTTCATGGTGATTGTTCTTCGACATCAATAAAGTATTATAGTTTTGTACGTTATCAGGCCAAGTGTGTATAATATAATGTGCCAATTATTAATTAATAGTTACTGTTTATTACCAACAATTAAATATTATTCTTGAAACAGAATTTGGAATCAATCTTGCTAGAAAGCTAGGCCGCACGAAGGGTTATCCTGGATAAAGTTCCTGCCAACATGTTCATAATTCGTGAAGCTATTTGTAATGCGCTCGTGGACGCATTAATTAAAAACTTAGGTAGAAGGTAAACATAATGAAAATTAAATTAAATTATTTTGCATTGTCATGCTTTGGGATTTCGAATTAATATCCGTAGTCTCATCACTACTTGTTTTTTAGCCCAAGTAAGCAGGCAATGGAGCAACTGGCCCTTGATTTGGTAAACAAATATCCACTTCTTGGAGATCCTCGTAGGAAGAATTTGGGGGCTGAAATGTGGTATTTTAATTCTGCACATTCGAGCGGACCTATGGGATTCTTGGAAGAAAGAATTAAAAACCAACGAAAAAAACTGACCAAGAAGAAGGCAATCGAAAACAAGGTCGAGGATGACATTAGCTCGCTATCATGGGATTCTGAACTTGAAGAGGGTAGGTGTTTCTTTATCTTACATCTCATATTAAATCAGTTCGCTCATTAATTTATTGTCTACGTTTATACAGAAAATCCCGAATCTGATGAAAAAATGCTGGAATTTTTAAGACAGAATAGAGGTGCAGATATTGTTGACACAATGAAATCCACCGTGTTTATGCGCCGAACAGTTATTCGAGATGAGATGAAAGACAACCTCGCTGGTTTTCGTCGAATACCTGGAATTATTCCTCGTTTGTTTGATGTTGAAGGAATGGTAAGAACCCTTCATTGGTTTAAGAAAAATGAAGACAATAAATAAACACAAAAAACTTCTTTATGAATTGCACGAGCAATTAAATTTAATGTGGTTAAATGGTTTTCTATTCATTTTTTCCAGATCGTTCAAGATTTTAATCTGCGACACCCTCAGCTCAACCTAATCGTTTATGAGCGATGGCCGGTTGCTTCAAAACTTTTAATTAGATACGCCAAAGAAAGCTCAATCGATTATAAGAAAACCCTGGGACTTCATAAGCCAAAATCAGATTTGTCTGAGGGTAAAGAAAACAATTATTTTGACTACTGACGCTATCAATGTGCGATCCTAATTAACCCTTTATTGATGGCTAATATGTCTTGACAGATGACATCTCATTGTTGGCTTATTCACTTCTTCCGTATTTGCTGCCTTCCTGCGCACGCAAGATTTCAACTGGCTTAAACTCCGTTAAAGAAGGAACAAGTGGGCAAAATAAAGGAGCAACGCGGGCGAGGTTGCAACTTCCGGGTGTTACAGGAAGCAGATTAGGCATTGCAGGCAGTTCTTCGGATGAAGAAAATGAGCAACGCCCAGTGGCTCAAAAACCTCGTAGGGCTCGGACTGTCAAAGCATCAAACTCTGATGCTCGAGATACCTTGATTCTATTCCGATCGGTGAGAATTTTATACAAAATTCTGCGAAGTGTTGTATTATATGTTTACCGAATATTTTGTCCACATTTTTTTAATATCTTTTGTTTTGATACTTTGTTCAGAAAAATACCCACGTCGCGGATATTTTGAGTGAAAATAGGAATGCTGCACCATTCATTTTGGCCCTAGGATCGACCTATGATTTGAGAATTGAATCTTTCTTTGTAATTTTGGACAAATTCGCCATCCCATGTGGATCAAGTTTTCTCCTGGCGCTGGATATTTGCCTAAAATCTTTCACAGTATTTTATTTACCACCCCCAGTGGAATCGAAAAATGTTTGGCAGTTTCTCCAGCACGGAATTACAGGAAAACCTTGCGAGAATTTCACACTGACTCCTGTTGTTCAAGCGCTAATTGGCCAGATAATTCCTCGGCTTAATTGAATTAAATTTATCAAATTATGATTATTATAAATTGTCAATTAATATGTAATGTCACTATGTAATTTATGTGTTTTGAGAGTATTTAAACGTTATTATAAATCAAATATAAATTCATCAATAATTAAAAAATTTCTATTTATTTGCATTTGGCGCATCTGGTATTGTAACCCATAAAAAAGTAACAGTAACCCGGCCCGCGTTAAAACGCTGCAGAGTTTCTGAGTAAAGGTTACCCATAATAGGGTAAAACAGAATAACCCGTTTTTGGGTTGATAGCCAACTCAACGTGAAGTAAAGTTGGTTACCCCTTTGCACTTTTGGGCTCGCTAACCCTGTACAGCGTCGTCGCCCGTTTTACCACTCTACGGATTGACTTTTACTCGGTATGGGTTTATTTGTTTTAAGTGTGCATTATACAATTGACATGAAAATTTGTAGGCCATTAGCAAATATAATGTAGTTTTCGATTATAGTCATGTTTTATTGATTAAAATTAGATAAACACAGTTTTCAAATAATTTGTTGGAAAATTTGCAAAATTTACCCGCAAAAAGTATTGGCAACATGTGGCCAAATTAATTACGCGAAACAATTTTCCTAATCAGCTACCACACTTCATTACGGTAAGTTAATTAGGTGACCAAATATGACGTTAGCTACAGTTTAAGTCTACATTTGTGTTGTCTAGGGCCATAATGGCGACACCTAACGAGCTGTATTGGCGCCGCGAGAAATAATCATGTCTCTTTCACAAAAAAGCTTTCTTATCGAAAATTCAAAGAGAAAACATACTTTTCCATATTTACTATTGAAAACGTAGCCAAGAAATATAAAATGACAATCTCAGTTTCTACTTTTCCATGGTGCGGAAGAAAAAAGTCACCTACGCCCACGAGCCACTGATGAATCAAGCAAATTATCACTCGAGATCGGAAGATTTCAGCTCCCAAAACCATGTTGAATTTGAGAACCAACTGTGGCGTCAACATATCATGCAATATTGTGATCAATCAAAAATCATGCCATGGGTTTCAGGGTCCAGAAGCCCGACTGACGCGAGGGTCCCCAAAACGAACCAACTCAATGAATTGGAATGGACTAAATACCACCCTGAATAGACTTCCAATGAATGAAAAAGGTTCTGCTGGTCTGACATAAGCATATTTTACTTATTCGGAGCCAATTGAATGGTTCAAGTCTGGCGGATGCCATAATAGGCTCACAAAAACGAATATGTTCGTATGACAGCTAAACACAGAAGAGGAGCGATTATGGTTTGGGGTTAAATGACTAGGTCGTGGCGTAGGTAGCTGGTCATTATCGATGGGATCATGACCAATGAGGTCCAAATAATCATTCTAAACGATAATTTGAAATTATGTGATAAAAATCTGACATATGAAGGAATTTTATATTCCGAAAATTCAGTGACCCCAAACATGTAGCCAATTTAACGATGCAAGGTTTTGGAGATCGAAAAGGTTAAGCTTCTTTCGTTGATTGCACAGTCTCCCGATGTGATTCTGATTGTCCGGGTTGAAAAAAGAGGGACTGGTGGGAAACCACTCTTCGAAAAACGAGCTTGTCAAAAGTTCGAAGGAAGTGTGGGCAGCCATATAGAAAAGCGTTATAAAGAAACTTGTTGAATCAATTCCACGACGTATTTTTGCTCGTATTGCGTCGAGGGGAGGTGCTACGTAATACTAGAAGCATTTTGTCATAATAAAATTGGCGTTTCTTTGATTTATGATTTTTTAAGTTAAGGGTTGCCAATACTTTTTGCGGGTAAATTTTGCAAATTTTCCAACAAATTATTTAAAAACTGTGTTTATCTAATTTTAAGTAATAAATCATGATTATTATCGAAAACTACATTATATTTGCTAAATGGGTACACATTTTCATGCCAAATGTATGATCCATTCCATGGTTATAGCCAATTTTATTTAGCTGGCGTGGGGGTTGCCAATACTTTTTCCATTGACTGTATGTAGTTGCTTACTTATTTACATTCAACTTATCTTCGATGAGGTGATTGACGACTGCAAAATATAAATTACACGGGCAATTTAAACTAAATCTTCAATTTTAAAACCGAAATTTGAAAATTGGATAACCTCATGGTGATTAATTTAATTATGCCAATTATAAATTACTCTGAGAAAATGCTATATGCAATGCATGTCTTTACTTCTTATTATCTGTTTCGATACCTACCAACTCGAACGATACCGACGTACTTAAACTGTAATTATGTATCTAGGCAAAATTCGAAATATGTAGTACATATTATGTACATACCTGGTGTACACGTATGATTACTTTTCATTTTTTATTCACTACATTAACATAAACACGCGTACAATTTTTCAACAGGCATTAACATTACTTCCCTGAAATACACTGAAATACATAAATATATACATACCTTAATGTCATAATATGCAATTATACATGTGTTACATAATTTTCCATGGATTTGCATACATTTGTATGCATGTAGGTATACATGTATGTACATAATATGTACATGCGGTACATGTCTGGGTTTTATTAAGGGGTGAAAGCCCTTTATAAGATCGTTATGTCCGTCTGTCCGTCCGTCCGTCTGTCTGTCCGTAGCTCCGATAACTTTTGAACGAAAAGACATAGAGACTTGAAATTTTGAACGTAAACTCCTAACGTCAAGGGACAGGACGAGTTCGAAGATGGACACTGTGACATCGTCACCTGTGACGATGACGTCGTCACAGTGACGAAAAGTGACGAAAAAGTGTCACGTGTCAATTTTGGCATGTGACATATCGTTTTTAACTATTTTTCAACGAGGAATTTGAAAATTCATGTCATTTTGTGCTTAGACGTCACCTGTGACGATGACGTCGTCACAGTGACGAAAAGTGACGAAAAAGTGTCACGTGTCAATTTTGTCATGTGACACATCATTTTTAACTATTTTTCAACGAGGAATTTGAAAATTCATGTCATTTTGTGTTTGGACGTCACCTGTGACGATGACATCGTCACGGTGACGAAAAGTGACGAAAAAGTGTCACTTGTCAGTTTTGACATGTGACACGTTATTTTTACCTATTTTTCAATGTCAAATTCAATGGTGACCTCCATTTTGACCTCAGAGGTCATGTAAAGGTCATAGGACATATCTATTTCAATTTCAACTGAAATTTAACCCCGAATTCAATGGTGACCTCCATTTTGACCTCAGAGGTCATATAAAGGTCACATAAGGGTTATCAACTGTTAAATTTGACACAAATAAGACACAAAAGTCGTGTCAATCTTAACAAATTTTCGAACAATTTGACATTCACATTGACGTATGACACTCCTTTCACCCCTTGGTTACATGCGTTGTAACGGTTTATTAGCTATATATGTAGAACTAGTCCAAAATAATTTACATATATTTAGTTGGATAATAATAATGGACATTTATTTACCTAAATATTTATATACATATTGTAACATGTATACATATAATATACATATTGTAACATTTATAAATACGTTATGTATGTACATAAGTGCATAGTGTTGGAATGCACTTTCTTTGTACAGTTGACAGTACGTATTACGTATATGGCTCGAATAATCGTAACTTTGAACTTTTCCTTGCAGGTGCATCGCATCACATATATTTTTTCACTGCTGTCATTTGCATGTAGAAAAATATTTCATACCAATTTAAAAATGCATTACATAATAATATTATTATTGATATAAATATATACATAATTATTTGTGGAAGATATCAAACACTAGGAAAATAAATTGCAACTGTACAATTTCAAATTAACTAAACTCATGTATCAGTAATACAGAAATTTATAAACCTGACAAGCCTAAAATAATAATGACAAAAATAACAGATCCTAAATTATCCGGGGGTAGTGCAAGGGTCAATATACACCGAGACTTGGAAACTGGCAAAGCTGCTGAATTATTAAGAACTAACAATTGTTACGTGTGTCAAAATTTGGAAAAATCTGCAATATTTCCCCTTTCTCGAGAAAATTGTGACATTTTGTTTAATTCGATCTTGACCGAAGCTTCGATCAGACATGGAAATAATTTGGACAACGACAAACCTTCGATTTGCAAACAGTGCTACGAAACCATACTTAAAATCGACAAATTATACGACGAAGTAGCGAAGTTAGAAGAACAAGTTAAAAAACTTGTGAATACATTAAAAGGGAAATATGAACTGAAATATGGGTCACTTAAACTTGGAGGAATTAGTCAAGTAAAAAAAATATTCGTTGCTTAATTAAACTCCGTTTCACGTTACTTGATTTCACGACATTGAGTACATTACCCGAATGAGCCGAATTATTTTATTATTTGATACCAGTTATTTTTATTTTGTTTCGTAAAAATCATACGAAATTGAATAATTTACACGCCAAAATAAAAATAACTGTATCAAATAATAAAATAATTCGGCCCATTCGGATAATGTACTCAATGTCGTGAAATCAAGTAACGTGAAACGGAGTTTATTACTTTGTCTTTACTAATTCTCAGTTCTTACTCAGGGTACGACGTCGCTGGATAATGTAGGATGCCTTAAAAAGTTTAACAATCCAAGGAGAGGAAGTAACGGAAAATCCTATCAAGGAAACAGTGATATGTCAAAACAGTCTCCTCGGTGGATGATGGAGGATGCGATTATCATGGAATTATCCGACACCGAAGATGCATCAGATCCTCCTGACCGTGACAGTAACAGTACTCAACCTGATCTCATTGTTAAAGATGAAAATCAGGATGTGCAAATCATCAATTTTATAACCAACAATTCCAATACGGACAGTCATGACCAAATTGAAGTAGATTACCAGAAAAGCGACGCAGAAAAATTTAGTTTTGTTGTTGACGAGACCTCATCTGGAACACTGGAGGTCGAAATACCTCCCACTCAAACCAATTTTATATTATTGCTCGACGATACGGACAAGAAACAAGTAGAGGACGAAGAGTATGCCATTTATGCATTTATAAGTCTATGAAAAAAGAAAATGCTGATCTCGTTTGAAATTTTAAAATTTACTTATTTTATTTTAACAGGTTGACGGAGGCAGGTTCTCATAGCCCTGTTAGTAAAAGTCAAGCCAAGCGTTCACTTTCTTCCACAAAACTACACACAATGCCGAATAGATTGTCGTCCTTTAAGGATTGCGTTGATATGATATATAAATGTTCAATTTGCAAGGTCGACGTAAAGAGCAAAACAGAATATGACTTACACAAAGAACAACACCATCCAAACGGAGAAAAAGAAGTTAAAATAAGGTATTTACATATCCAGGACGTAATGTGTATTATCGTGCATGTCACACGTAAATAATATAATACCGTACATACAAAACAAAACATGGATCGTTTGAGAAAATGGAGTTGATAATTATCCACAATTATAATTAACTATATCTGAGAGAACTTTCTTACATTTTGTCAATTAAAATAATTGACCTTAATTTACTCAACTTGATCTATGTTTTATAAGGTTTACGTCAAATTATAACGATTAACTAATAATTTCCACCCTTGTTTTCACAGAACTGGCCCCTTCCCATGTCCCCACTGCCCAAAGACCTTTCTTCGCCTACAAAGCCTCAAAAGACACTCAAAACTACATCCCGAAAACAATAATTCCTCCCCCTTACTAATTTGTCACCAATGTGGGAAACCTTTCACGGACAAGTACCGACTCAACTGCCATTTATCAACTCATGAAGATCCCAACACCAGAATCCACCACGATAAGCGCTACGTCCAATGCAAATGCACAACCTGCGGCAAAGAGTACAATTGCACCCGAAACTTGGCTGACCATGTTAAACGCGTCCATGAAGCAATTCGACCCCACATTTGTGACCAGTGCGCAAAAACCTTCTACCGGAAGAGTGGTCTCGACTCGCACGTGAAGCTGAAACACGCCGTCACAAAAGAGGAGAAAGCTACGTGTCCCCAGTGTGGCAAAAAGTTTGATACAATGAAAGCCAGAATTTTGCATGAACGACGATTTCACTCAGATTCAAGGAAAGACAAGATATTCAAATGTGGAGATGATGCATGCGGCGCAATTTTCATTTCAAACTTTGCCCTTCGCCAGCACCAGAAACGCCACGAGAGAGAAAAGGTCACCTGTGAAATTTGTGAGCGACAATTTGAACATGCGAGTCAACTAAAACGCCACAAAAGTTCAAAATATGGTTGTCACCAGAATGATAAGAAAGGTTACAAGTGTAGAACATGTGGGGAAGTTTTCACCACTGGGAGGAAATTGTGGGAACATGGTAATACGACGCATGGCTTGGGTGAAAGTCGTAACGATAAGAGGGAGGAATTTATACCAGACAATGTCATCACTGACGAGACTAAGTTAGCTGTTGAGTCAATATTGATTTTATCAGGGGAGATGTCTTAACTCGTGGTGAAATAATGTTGAAAAAGTTAATAACTTTGGTCTTAAGAGGAAATTTTGTAACGAGACTTAAATTATTGTCATACGAATAAAATAACAATTTTGATACATACATTTCTTTCTGCTTGCCCGTTATTATTAGTAGCATGTAAATATATGCCTCATTCAGCATTAATAATTTCAAACAAATATATGCATATGTAAAAATTTTGAGTTTCGGAAATCATTGACTTGCATTAATATGAAGTATTTGACTGGATTACCAAGATGTAAATATGTAGCGTTGAATGGTGTAAAGCAGTTTGCCAAGAAACTACGTTTCGCATCGCATGTCAAACTTATGCTACGTGAGGTTATAAGGCAAAAAATCGAACTGGATGTGAGACGACAGAACGCTGTCGAGTCCAGACTCCGGTTTGCTTTTCTGCTTTATTTCGGTGGAATTTCGGTGGTCGGTTGGTTGGTGGTAGGTTGGTAGTGAGTGGTGAGTACCACCAAAATGAGTAACTACATGGTGGACGTGGAAACAGAATTTTTTATGAATTTTATTTGTATTATATGAAGTTCATTGTCAAATTGTATCAGTTACAAGAAACTAATACAACTATGTATGAATTGTTGAAATAATGCTTGAGAATTGCAATTGTCCAGAATTTTTCACAGGTTAAATAGTATGAAGACTAAGAGGGTAATAGAGAATAATGTTATCGAGGTGAAATACAGTTCCACATCAAAATAGTATGCATGTACATATGTATGTATGTGTGGGGTTTGTGCATGGTATGTATGTTTTTGGTAACAAAGGATGGGTTAGGATTACCTCAAGATTATCAAATGTGAGTAATTTAATTTTAACACTTTCAGGCGTCTAGGTTCCTCTTAGCGCAGCCAATTAAATTTCTGGTATCCCAACTTCCCAAGTTAAGCTAATAATTATGATTTGTCTAAGGGCATGCAACTTAAATTGGCTGATAAAGTGAGACAATCGTTTGTAGCAGGCCCTTAACAAAGCATCAATATTAAGGACCATTAATTATTTTTTTTACTATGCATTATTTGTAATATGATCAATCCAGTATGAGGCTGTACATAACTCAAATCACTTTTGGCATAAAAATAAGTATGCAAAAAAATACATATGTATTTATATATGTAGGGCTTAGGATTTGAGATATTGGTAGTATTCCACAGAGTGTGCAAGGGCAAAAAGGCATGCCGTGCCTAAAATGCCTGTTTGCCTATTAGGCACGTGAATTTTGGGCATGCCCGATTGCCCGAAATGCCTTTTTGCCTTTTTGGTAAAATCGGGGCAATGTGATCATACTATCGTATGCTTTTTACTTGTAATCGTTTACACTTCATAGGATTTTTCGACATGTGAATAATTAAGATATTAAGCCGATTTGGATTATCATGTGTATATATAGATCTACATATACATATGTAGATTATCATCTACGCATATGCACATCTTTAGGTGTACAAATATTCACAAATACTCTTAATTATCATGCATGCGTAGGGAAATAATGTTGTGGAGTAGCTATGAAAAAATGTAAGGTTGTTAAAGTTTTAGAAAAACCGAAATGTAAAGCTGATTACATTGTTGTCACTCTTTCTTGTCCATAGAAAAATTTGTCAAATGGTTCAGGCAATACCCAATGGAAACATACGGAAAAAGGCAAAAAGGCATCAAACGGGCAAAATGGCACGCAAAAAGGCAATCCGGCATTGAAACGGGCAAAACGGCAAAAAGGCATGAATTTTTTCCCAAAAAGGCGCCTTTTTGCACACTCTGGTATTCCACATCCACTTGAGCACATGCCATCTTTTATATTGTTTCAATTACGTAAGAAATAATTATCATTATGTTTGTAAATTATCTAATTGTATTTATTTAGCTAAATATCTACTCTCACGTATCTGCAATCAAACCGGCAGACTTTGGTCCAACTTTATCATACACGTCTGGGAAAGCGTAACAGCAACCACGACTCTTTCTAACTTTGTCGTAAATACTCGTGTCAAACATTTCACGGAATTGTTTTCTCGACATGAAACAGTCCGCATAGAGTCCTTGAAATCTAGATACATAATTAAATATTTGAGAAATTATTCCGCCACAAATTATATAATTAACCAATTGAGTGACACAAATTATTACCCGTCGCATTTGATGACCTCGGCTTCCATGGCCTCCAAGGTTTTGACGGGATGAAAATTATCTGCTTTAGGATAAGTATAAAATCCAAAGTCCAGGTAGTCGACATCGCCAGGTGGTCGAAACATGGTCGAATTTCTCTTCAACTCTACGGGACAAAGCCACACTGGGTAAACCTAAGGATACGCAATGTTCAAAAGTTTAGTACAAAAATCTGATCCTATTTCTGCCAACTTTCAAATGTACGAGTGCAAACCATGCTCAACACAGATTCTATTTTCGCAACTAAATGCATACACTTTGAAAAAATTTCACAAATATTGACAACGATACACTGCAAAAAATCTGGGTTTGACATGGTGTCACATCGCATTATTTATTTATGTAATACTGGGTAGCACGAGTTATTAGTTTGACCCACATACATGAACAAGTTCATCCGCCATGTCATAAAATTTTTGCGCAGTTTTGAAAGGGACGACGTAATCCTGTACGACCTGCCCACTGGTCAAGAAGTTCCACGCAACGTTTGGAATGAGTCTTTGCGACGGGATGTATGGATTTAGCATACATCCAAAAAGAAACAGAAACACAGAATAGTTCAGAAGTACAAAATTTTCCGAAAAAACCCAAAAAATTCCTCGAGAGTGGCGATGATAGTAGTCGATCAAGGGAACGTATTCGACATATGAGTCTCTTCCCTTCTTTAATATGGAGTGGGCGTGGTTGTGAAAGATATGTTTGTACCAGCGATTGATGTAGTTTACACTTGCGCCGGGTGCGACGGTGTCAACCATGTCGCCAAACATGACGACGATTTCGTTCTTGGAATAAGCAAAAGCTTCAACAAAATCGTGGTTTGGTTCAGTTTTCAGCATTGAATTGAATTGCGTGATAGAGGACGCGGGACGATAATCAATTTGGACAAACCTGATCATAAATTAATTATGTATGTGTACATATGTAAGAGAAAAGCTTATACATTCGATTGCTACCTTTTGGCCCGAATTAGTGGGAATGTTACAGCAGTTAAGAAACCAATTGTTCCATATGATCCAGGAATTGCATGAAATAGGTCGGGATCATTTTCCTGTGAAGTTATGTAATATCTTAGTATGTAGCTTGGGTTTCCACTCATTGTCAGTTGCCGGGCTAAAAAAATTAGGTAATCACCTCGGAACAAGTAACCACGGTTGCATCTGGAAGAACAACTTCGTACGAGATTACCGTGTCATGCAGGACTCCATACTTATGGGAGCTCGATTCTAGTCCAGCTCCACAAATTAGACCTCCTGAATAATTGGAAAATCGTTATTTTTCTCAATCCAGTTCTCTTAAAGTTACTCACGAAAAAAACAATCCTTTTAACCTGGAAAATAGATAAATACTGGTTCAACCTTTGCACCTATGCAGGTTTTGTAAGATAATACAGAGTGACAAAGACCCATGGATCCTGAATTTATTCTGAGTTTTTATATTAATTACAGTAATTTACCTATCGAGAGGGAGTCCAATTCTGGCACGACGGGAATAGTCCACCCCCTTTTGAACAGGTATCGAGTTAACTGCCCAATCATCACGCCTGGTTCGACGGTCACCGTCTTTGCAGAATTAATATGAATCACAAGTTAAACTATTGTAGCCAGAATTTCAAAAACAATTTTTTGTAAAATATGTACCACTTCGTTTTCTTCAAGCGAAATAATTCCATTCAGATCAACATTAATCGGGTAGTAGACCGACTTATCCGTTTTCGTGATGGAAATACTCTTCCATCCTGGCCTTCCCGTCGTCATTTTCTTCTTCTCTCCATTTCGTCTCCATTTCCTGACCTGCCTCACAACCTTGACCACCCCTTTTGTATGCTCCTCTAAATTAGTTTCCAGCCCAAATTCACTCTCCAAAGAGAAATATCGCCACAAACGGAAGATTGGAAAAACTGGGAAATATGCTACCACCCAAAGCATATGAAGTGCAAATACTGCAATGTAGTTGAATAAGCGAAATAACCAATGCATTGTCACGAATGGGTGGATTTGCAGTCTTTCAGCGGGCTGAATGGCTCTGGAGATTAATAATTAAATTATGTAATTGTGGTCAACTGTTGGTAAAAAGTACTAGTCTGAGCTTAATATAATGAAAACCATGTACTTACATATTTACCTATTTACATACTAGCGTATAAGCCCGTCTACCGCCAGGCGAGAGTTGATTTAGTTTTCAATGTTCACCAAATTAAATTTAAATTGTCTGCAATATTAGCTGAACCTTTCGGCATTTATAATTCCACCCCCACCCTTCTTGGTTCAGTCATCTCTTCCAGTCCAAACTGCCATAGGCACTGCCATTGCCAGTGGCAGTGTGTCTGGCACCCTTCCCTTCTTGGCTCAGTCATCTCTGCCAGTCCAAACTGCCATAGGCACTGCCATTGCCAGTGGCAGTGTGTCTGGCACCCTTCCCTTCTTGGCTCCGTCATCTCCTAGTCCAAGCTGCCATAGGCACTGCCATTGCCAGTGGCAGGGGGTCTGGCATTAAATTTGGCATTTCAGTCGTCTCTGCCAGGTCGGTCTGCCTTGGGCACTGCCTATACCACTGGCAGTAATAGTGGCAGTCTAACTGGGTGATACGCGTCTACCAATTAAGACTGCCACTGGCACCGCTAGTATATAAAATTAGGCAGATAACTAAGATTGCTTTACCGCATATGCATTATTACATATTCTGCTGGAAAAGGGCAATGCCAACGGCAGCGGCACGCAATAAGATAACCCCCCAAATAAACTAACAATGGTACTGACAATGGCCACGACACCCAAATACCCCCATTAGGCCGTAACACCTCGATAACCACCAACAGGGCGAAACACCCCGATAACCGCCAACAGGGCGCCACACCCCGATAACCACCAACAGGGCGCCACACCCCGATAACCACCAACAGGGCGCCACACCCCGATAACCACCAACAGGGCGCCACACCCCGATAACCACCATCAGGCAACAAAGACCCGATAACCAGCACCAGGGCGCCACACCCCGATAACCACCATCAGGAAACAAAGACCCGATAACCACCATCAGGCAACAAAGACCCGATAACCACCATCAGGCAACAAAGACCCGATAACCAGCACCAGGGCGCCACACCCCGATAACCACCATAAGGAAACAAAGACCCGATAACCACCATCAGGCAACAAAGACCCGATAACCACCATCAGGCAACAAAGACCCGATAACCACCATCAGGCAGAAAAGACCCGATAACCACCCTCAGGGAACAAATACCCGATAACCCCACCAGGCCGCCACAACTCGATAACCACCATCAGGCAGCAAAGCCTTGATAACCCCACCAGGTCGCCACACCTTGATAACCAACATTTATATTTTAAATTAAAGTTTTTGAATTTTCGCGCCATTCGAAACTTGGCTTTCACTACTTTCACTTCCGTGACGGACAAACTTCCGTCACAGACAGATTTACTTTCACTTCCGTTGCCAACAGACATTGCCTCTTATAATATAGATAAGCGGAAGGACTTGCATAATCCAAGTCCTAATTTCCCACGAACGCGGTGTTCAAGTAGTTCGTCAGGAGTTTTCTGTCTGACGGAAATATGTAAATATGTAACTCACAGGCAGAAATACAAATCCTCGGGACAAGTGACACGAAGAAAGTTACAACTGACAAGCAACGAGGAACATAATTTTGCCAAACTAAAGCAGATATTGCTCGATTTACTTCATTATGCAATTGTTTCCTCCATAAGACACGTCGAATTGCTGCCCCGAACGAGTATGAAGACTGCATTTTGGTACCTGTTAAACGTGGTATTAAATACGTAATAAGTACATTTTAAACCCTCGGGAATTATTCAGCGATACAATCTCACTCCCATCCAACCAGTTCCAACTGACAATACAAAACAATCGAAATACATAATGTAGGTTGACCAGATAAACGCTTAAAATGTTCTTTCCCACGAATGTATAATGAAGGCATGACATGGATACACTTCAGTACACACCTGTCCATACGGTGATCATGGTTGGCAAGCAATTTCTTCAGATTTACATGCCTGCATGTAAATGCCTATATGTAAATACATACGTCTTGAATAAGTATCTCGTTGAGAAGTATATAATGGGCACAAATTTCGTAAATGTCTAAATTAAAAACAGACCCATTTATAACAAAAAATACATTACATACACCAGAGTTTGAAACCCTTAAATTCCACAACATTTTATCTGAGACTTGCTACACATTGTGGTAGAATGAAATTAAACGATACATATATGCTTACGATACGATATATGTCAACTAAAAAAGTAGAATATGCAATTTATTATTGTTCTTTCCATGTTCATTTTACATACATTTATTTCGAAAAAGCTAAACGACCAGCGCCGTACATAAATTTCCCTATCTGAATATTTAAAAAAATTCCTCTAATTGTTGTCGTCCTAAAGATAAAAAATCTCATCCAGCTCTCGACCTGCTGGCAGAGATCCTAAAATCGCGGCCACATTTCCGCGTTGAACTGCAATACTAATTCTTTGGATGAGAAAATTCGTTGCCCTCTTCTCGTCCGTGAGGGCTGTGATCCTTGTCCCTATTTCTTTGATAAGGGACAGGCCCTCCTTGCCCCATACTCCAGTTGTTTCAACGGCTACGGGAACAAAGAGGAATCTGTCCAGAACCTTCGTACCTTTTTGTCTTCCTGTCCTCCGCCCTCTCGGCTGCTGCACCAGGATGAACACAGGTTTGGGGGAGGTAAGACGGTGCAAAAGTGTCGACACACGTAAAGTCCCATACCAGGGGCCGCCCTCTTGCCCATGGAACTAATGTCAGTCCGTCAGGGCGCTTCCCGTCTGGCCGGGAGCAACCGGCGGGCTCTTTAATAGTGGGGGCTCCGGCGGAACGAAGAGCTCGCCAAATCACGTCATTTGCTGCGGCATGGCGGGAATGACGCCCCGCACTACTCTTGCAGCTTAGGCCATGGTAGCCTCTTGATGTGACCATAGCTCCGCATGGACATTTGCATGTCTCTACATATGTATTTACATATATTTATATATCCATACATATATTTTCTCTGCAGAAAACTTCAAATGAAATTTATTTTGTCACAGTGCTTTGATTGCGCATATAACCATACTTCAATGTAAATACTTGTAAAACGCTCAAAATTGTATCTGCCGTGTCTTATCTTGACTACTCCAAAATGGATTTCCGAGTGATCGATACCGAATTGGTCATCCGGGTAAGGAAAAAAGTTTTATATGTACATTGTTAGGTGGAACGCAGGTTCTTCTTTGAGAACGTTCTCTGTAACTCTGTGGTCAGTAATTGGATAAATTTTAACTATATGTATGTAGGATTATTATTTTCTGTGAAATTAACTTGCAGACTCATGAATTGAGCATTTTGTATTCGACAAAGTAGCTAAAATTAAATAATAAATTTATGCATGAGTAAGGATACAGATGAGATTCAACTCGAAAATGGGAATGCTTGTGACCAACAACGTAGCGTACTTATGTACCCAGTACTCGCAAAAGAAGTGTTACAAGAACAACTTACACTACTCACAAAAATCAGGTTCTGGTATCAAGTCAAACTGGTATAAAATACTTGTGCACACGTTAGACACTTGGCAATGTAAACATATTTTAGATGAAATACCTGAACTGTACAATTTAGATGCATGCTCACAAAAAATGTTACAAATAAATACATGTATCCGTAAAATATATAATCTGTCGATTGAAAATGATATTCATAAAATGCAAAATAGTAAATCTATGCCAATTTACAAACTTATATATACAAACATAAACCCCCAAGTTTTCTTAAATATTAATACTTCATGGTCTTTAGTAAGAGCAACAGTTCAATGCAGAGCTAATATGGCACAATTTACATGCTCTAGAACAACAGTAAAATTAGCCGCATTATGCCATTTTTATGATAATTCGGTCGATCCAGTATGCATAAATTGCCTATCTGGAGACGCTGAAGATCTCATCCATGTCCTCTTCAAATGTTCCAAATATGATGAAAATAGATATAAATTTATGAATATTGTAAATTATATTAAAATGGAAGATATAATTATATACCTGTCTCAACCTAATGAAACAACTATGAAAAATATTTATCTATTCCTTAAATCTGTTGCTGATGCTCAAAATTGTTAATTGAAACCACCATATCTCATTTTCTGTTGTCATAAATTAGTTATAATAATAATAATAATAATAATAATTTATTCATGACAATTCTTATAAGGCTCATGGCCCATAGAATTACAGGTTAGATTACATCGTAAAGAATTAAATAACAAATCAATAATACTACAATGACAATTATTTCCTTGCAAAATTATCCTGGGGGTTCTCGCTTAATAACATTCTACTAAATAAGCTTTGTGTATGTTAAAATACAGATTCTTAAACATTTGCATTATAACAAGAATAAGACAACTTGATTAAAACACAGTGATAGGGTACGATAAACTCAATTAAAAATTAAAGTCACTGTTTGCAGGATTCAAGCACTAAAATCAAATAGATAACCATCAGACATAATTATCAAATTTATAAACGTAGAATAAGAGCATTATTATTCACAATTCCATCTCAACTAATTAGGTCAATACGAACGAATTCAATTGATCAAATTAAATAACTCATAGTGGTGGATTACTAAAATCAAACTATTAAATACTACGGCATAATTTATAAACGTAAAAAGTAAACAGTCAGTATTCACTTCTCCATGAACGATACTATTTTCAAGTCAGTTAACTGCAGATCCTCAAAATTAAATTCATAATTCCAAATTAAATTGCAATATTATTCACAATATCAACAGATTATGCTAATTCGTATGACAATAACTGCAAAAATCAAACCATTAAATACTACACATAGCAAATATCTCCATTTTTCAAGTCCTCATAACAAAATCATAAAACTCCAATTCTGAAAATATCCATTTTCACTAGGCAAGCATCCATTTCCCTCGTCAGTGATTTCATGTTGGCATCCATAATTGAAAGTATGTAGGCTACGCCGTCATTCGAAATTGGTTGGGATAATTTTGGGCTTCGTTTAACGTCTTTGAGATGTGGTCCTTCCAAGTAATGTGTATCGGGTAGATCTTCTTTTTCGTGTTGAACGTCTTTTTCTACAGGGGGCTGTCCACACTTTGCGTGATCCAATTTCTCTGTCTTCTCCGCCGGTTTAGGGGCTGTGGCTGAATGGCTGACGTCATGATAGGGTGAGATTCCAATTTCTTCGTTGATTTGAGTCCCATTCACAAAAAGGTCAGCGCCCCGGAAGTAGACTTTGTTTCCAATTTTCTTTTGCTCAAGGAATTCTGGTATTTGTCGTCTCTTCTTTGCACGTTCCTCTTTACTTAGGTCCTCCACAATTGAGATTTTGGCAGGGATGGCTTTTAACTTGTGGCAGTTTCTAAACACCATACTTTTTTGCTTGGTTGATGCCAATTTCACCAGCACCGATTTACCGTTGGACAACGGACGGACATCTTTAACAGTGACATCCACTTCCAAACAATTGGAAAGAAAATCTGTCGTCTCCTCCATTGCAGTTTTGGCAGAATAATATTCACATCCATGAATTATGATGTTGCATTGTCGATCACAATTTGCATTTGGTTTGGTTTCATAACGAAGAATCGTTTCTGCATTCTTCTTCACTTGCTGCTCCAATCCGATAAACTTATTTATGAATCTGTCCAGTTCACTCTTAAAGTTGAACATTTGCTTCTTTATGTGGCTCAATTCTTCTGCGTGATTAACAAAACTACTTGATAAGAACTCGAGTTTCTCTTTCGCTGATTGTGCAAATTCTTGTAGATCGAGTTGCACATTGTCAAGTAACTGAATTTTGTGGGCGTTTTTACTTATATTATTCGTTGGGGGCTTATGCACAAGTGAATATTTCTGATTTTTTCCCATTTTTCGAAGTGTTATGAATTTATAGCAGAAATTCTTATGTGGGGGTAATCGCGATGAATTTAGCTTTATAATGATATAACTTTATAAGTATGGCTTGTACTTTTAGGTAGTGAAAAACTCAATTTAATGAGAGCTCAGAATAAACACGTCTGCTCGCTTCAATAACTAAACGAGAACCCCATAAATTAGTTAGAATATTGATATTTAAATTTATGGGTTAAACTAGGCTAACTTAGATTTAATATAGGCTAATTTATGTACTAGATTCTAACTACACCCTAAAAAATCAGACCAAGACACATCATCATAATTATTATAGCTTTAAAATAATTATCTTGTGATTGTAAAGGCTGACGCCAAATCAATCTGAAATAAACTATCTATCTATCTATCTACAAGAACAACTTATTGCAGGAACCACAGTTTGTCGAATTTTGAAAAAATAAGCACATAGCTGAAAAGCCAATGAAATTCTGTATAGGAAACATTATTCACCTTTCATAATTTCAGCCCCATTAGGCGACACGAGCCAGGAGACTTGGTGTCCACTTCACGATCGCGGTACGCATGCGTTCAAAGGGATATTGGTGTCATTTCTAGAGGATAGATTTTTTCTCGTACCCCAAACTTGTGTGGGGTTTAGCACACGTATCTAGCTTCAGTTTGGACCACATATCATATTCCAGAAGGTTGAGGTTCGGCGATGATGAATTTTATTCTTGGTCCGAAATGGAGTCAAGAATTTTGGACTTTAACCACCAATTTACTATTTTGGCTTAATGAATATTACCTGAGCCGTCCTTAAATGACTAGTGGCTATTTTTGAGTCGAGAGTGGTTCATTAGTACCCCAATTCGCTCGATAACTCGAAAAAATATTTTTTGACACGAAATTTCGACCTCTGAGGATGAAAAATCACTTTTCCGACCAAATTCCAATTAAAGAATCACAGAAGCAGTATGGTGGGTCAAATTAATATTTTTGAAATTTTTGTAAATAATATGGACTAGTGGGGTGTAAACACAGTGCCTTTGCTTATTTTATATGGCCTCAAGGGTGAAAGTTTGCTCATCTTTTCAAAATATTTATTTTCATTTTTCAAGCGCGTACCGCACGATCAGCGCCTGGCTTCTTATGGCTCTATTTTTACTTGACGTGCGGTTGGCAAGTATTTCTCCTCACGCCTTAAAGACATAAGTCCAATGTCTAGTTTAAGGGCCCGGGACATAGTTTTACTCAACCCGTTCATTAGCAGGGAAATTTTTTTTAGGGTCCGGCATGAATTTGAACAAATTCAGGTTTTCTGCATCTTCATGATTTTTTTTGACCTTTTTGGCCGTTCCTTTCCACTTTAGTTTCACTCATCAACACTACTGGTGTCAGCGGATCGTTTTATAGTTCGGTCGATGATCTTGCCATCAGTTCCGATTTTTATTAAGTAATTGAAAAACGAAGAATTTTATTGTTTATCAAAATGTTGCCAAAAAATCGCAACATGTCTTCTACACCAGTCTATAAATTTCGTACCTTGGGTCACAAAAATTTTTGAAACATATGGTTTCTGACATACAATTGCATGGAGATTTCAATAAAAAATAGTACAACTTTCTAAAAAAATGTCTAGCCTGCTTAATTCACCCGGGAAAGCTTGTAACACTTCTTTTGTGGGTACTAGGTACATTGTAGCGTTTCCTCATAAAAAATAACTCCGCCTAAACATGCCCTCACTAACCTGTGCAATATAAATATTATTTAACATTAAACTTCTGGATTATCAAGATGAATATATTTGCGTATGTATTTATTTAGAGAGATTCATCCACACTTACATGTTATTGAAGTAAATTGTATTGATACTTTTGTATACTTATATTTGTATAAATCAGGAAATAATGTATTCACTTATTTCTTCACGAGTTTCAGATTCATGAAGCATAATTTATTTTTTCTGCTTCACAAGTCAAGCCACCTTTTAAATCAGACCGTGTGGAAGGTTTGGCCGTAATGGGATCCGGCCCTCATAGTAAAATTTATTATTGTATATCCGAAGGTTTCGTTTGTCACTGGGGTCCAGATCGGCCCCTGGTTTAAATCTTCCTTGTCGTCAGGTGCACCAGGATCTCTGTAAGATATTTCAGAATGTTAAACTGATGTACAATTCACATCAAATTCAGATAAATAAAATAGAAAATAGAAATTAATTAGTGCTAATTCAGCACCCTCGCATGTGAAACCAATTTTTTAAATTAGTGCCCGAGAACTTTTTTCGATAAGTATTAACTATTAAATTGCCACCGATGAGCTTACCCGTGCATCATAAAATTATAAATCGTATTGATTAAGCGCTCGCTAAAAAGTTTCTCTTCTTCCGAAAAATCTTTAAACTTGAAAATGTAATTTAGTTCATCCGCGTGGGTAACTCCAGGCAAAATTTCGGGAATTCCTCCGAGGTCCTCGTAGAAGACGTGGGTCCTGCAGGATCGTCATATTATAAATTTAAAAATTTCGTAAATATATCTATTTGTTCATTGAAGTTCTTACGAGCTTTCATATTCGTAGGAGTAAAGGTAGGTCTTCAGCCCCAACAGGGCATGTGATTTAGCCTTATGAAGGGCTGGGGCCTTGAAATAAAAGGTCGAATAGATCTGTGGAGAACAAAATACAATTTTAATTCAAATTACTTAGTCAGTATTTCATTACAATTTGTTTTGTTGGAGTTATGCTAAATAAACATAACAAGCCCACTTTGTTAAACAATTAGTCTGCATATGCAATACGAACTTGAGAGGCAGTTTATTTTTATTAACAATGGACATGACTTCTAATCAACAACGGAGGTTTTATTCGTATGTCTCACTTTCGTTTTAGTAGAAAATAGTCAAACTCAAAATTACTTTCGCTATTCAAGAAAATGAGAGGAACTTATTAGTATTGATTATTTGGCAATGGAATTAAGAACCTGCTCAAACAAGTCACAATACAACAGTACTTTCCTTCGGGTTGATATATTTAAATCGATTGATTGAAACTTTCGTTTTTAACGACCAGTACGTTTTCATGTACAAGTAAAAAAAATTATATGCCTAAATTCTTAAAATTTTGTAAATTATTCTCACGTCGGACACGGCCTGTCCCATGACGGTCAAATTCACACCCATCCTGTGTTCCTTCAGGAAGGAGGCAATGATGGACTCCACCATCCCAATTGGAGTGTCGTTAATTCCTGCAACAGTACATGAGAAACATGGTCAAATTTATGTACCAAAATTGGACGTAAACCCCCCTTGGACTCACCAAAGTGGGACGAATTTAGGAGAGTTTGCAAAAAGATGTTGCGTAAATACGTAACGTTAAGATGGTGGTTGTTTGGCTTGAGAACTGCTTCAACATATCGTGATAAGAGGAACGTCCCGTCATTCCTGTTTCCCCCGATTAACAAGGGGACACGACTCCTCGTTTGTTCTGGGTCGTTGTCCAGAGGATGTTTCGGGACAATCCTGTAGACGTCACTGACCAGCGGATTGTCCTGAATGCTGGGGGCCGTCTGTTGTGTTCAAAATTTACAGACGCATAAATTACAAACCAGTATTAAATGTCAATTTATTAAAAACTCATGCATTGAAATGTACGTGTAAGTACTTACATAAAAACTGCTGTCATTGTACCCGGCCAGTATAGTTTCAATGGTCAGACCACGGAGGCAGTTAACTATGTCTAGGTTCGTCTCATAATCGCAACCAACATTAATTGCGAATGCCTTGCTTTGTTCTAAAGCCCGAAAATTTATCGTCCATCCAGCACAGTTGTCACCTATCAGAACAAAAAACGGTCTTATCATTCAACTACAATTCATAAAATATAATTTACAATTGTATTTGTAGTTTTATAGCTCACCTGAGGATTGAATCACTCGGTGAAAGAGCCCTCTATCCTTGGTAAGAGACGAATCTGCCAAATAGGCAACGCTCGCGCTGCCGGCGCTTTCGCCGTACAACGTGATGTTATTGGGGTCCCCTCTAAAGTGGTGAATATATGACTTTATCCATTCTAAGGCCGTCAACTGGTCCAAGAGTCCCAGGTTTCCGGGGGCCTCGTCGAAATCCAGAGTAAGAAAACCTAAACACATATTGTTCAGCTCAGAAAAAGACGACACAATTTTGGACACTCCATTTTTCTAAGAACTGCAATTCACAAAATATTACCTAAAATGCCAATCCGGTAATTCACTGAGACAACCACCATGGGGTGATTGTCAATCAGTCGGTCGCCGTTAAACATCGAGGCAGTCCAACGTTTGAAGGACCCTCCTGTTGAAATCAAAATTTAAAAGGTAGAATTAACTACAAAATTCAGATATTTAGAAAAAAACTATCACTTTTTAAATATTTCATAAAATTTCATTTAGAAAAAAAACATGGTGTGCGTGTGCTACTACTATATGTATTATTGACTAGATAAATAAAATGCATAAATTAGACATTTAAATACACAAAGTTTCAGTTCGACTTCATTTAACGATCGATAATGTGATCAATTATGTACATTCATATGTAAGAATGAGAAATAAAAACAATTTCCTGCTTGTAAATTCCAGACCACAAGAATTTCATATTTTTATGCCCTCTCCTCAGTCAAAATTACATAAAGATGTGTAAATAATATTTACTAAATATATAAAAATCAATCAAAATCATACCATGAATTTTTACCAAGACTGGCAGAAACATGTCTGTCGTCTACACAAAAACTTTCAATTAGATAACTTGATGGATTCATTTCATTTAATTCATTTAAACCATTGCATTGCATTATTTGTAAATATATTCTCACCCTAGGTTTATCGACAGACAGTGTAAGGCAGTTCTCCGTCATATTGTCGGGGGCACATATTGCGATGGCGTCTGAAAACAAGGGTGTTGGTTACTGGCATCAAAGTCGACCATATCTCCTGTGAGATCAGTGATTGGGCTGAAACCATAGGGCTGTTTTCCGTAGGGAATCCCCAAAAAATTGGAGATTAGTACCCCATTGGGGCTAGTCGTGGTGAAACCACGTATTCTTCCCACTCCTTGGATATAAACGCTTTCGCCATCCTGATTTGCGACAGCGAATTCTTGAATGACGAAGATAAGCACGACACACAATGCGCGAGACAAATTACTCATTTTTGTAACAATTTCGTTCATTGATATATGAACCTAGGTACTGTACTGAGCCTGTGCTCTGTTTCAATTCCGAAACTTAGGCTAAAAACTGACCGTAATTTGAGTAGAAAAAAGTCAATGAGGGTACAAGCACAACAACGGTCTTAACGTGGCATTGTATTCTTAAACAATTAAAAGGAAATTGCTTCATCTCCGTGAAAGCATGAATTGTTCATATTTATTTTATTTATAATACATTCGACTGAACTAGATTCCACACAATCGTTATTGTAAAACCAATTTAATTTGAAATAACAATTTTTGAAACCCTTGTTGCTTTATAAACATGGAATAAGGAAGAATTCACATACCAAATTTTTGGTTATCAGTTTATCTAACTTAAATTTAAACATGTATTTATAATACTCATCAACAAATTATTAGTCCATTCAATTAATTATTAGATTTCAGCTCATTTAACTTTCCTGTACTTTGTGCGTCTGGATTTCAGGTTGACGACAATTCTGCCTGCACCAACCGAAGCAATAATTGTGTCTGGTCGAGCAAGATTTGGGTTTGATTTAGGAGTAGGCCGGCATTATCCGGTAATTCCGGCCTTTGCGTTGTGGTTGAGTGTCCAACCGTGGATGAAATCTTAGTAATCCAAGTTGACTCTGACGGGGTGGATGTCTTTATTGGGGCGTTTGTGGTGGTACTTTCAACCGTAGACATTGCAGTGGTGTAAATTGTCGTCAAAGGTGCCACCGACATTGAGGGTCCACCAAAACATTCATCGTTTCTTTCCACTCGGAGACAGTCCCCTTAATTAAATAATATCGCATACATAGTTTTAAAATATTATACACATTTGAAATTTCATTAGTTTTACTTGAAAACAGTAATTCCAGAATTGTACAACCCTGAAAGCACGCAAATTAAATATTATCTTGTGGTCATTTTTAATATAAATATGCATGTACATACACAAATGCAGTTAAATCGGTGTACGGTGTTCATTCATTCACATGTAAATACGTACATGCACTTGTCGAATTACTTACGTTTAGCGTGTAATTGAGAGCACACTGCAACTGTTGTGCTACAGAGTCCTTGAACGTATCTTGGTAAGGAGGTCGGGTGTAACGAACATTATAAAAGAAATCCTCCAAAAGAAAGTAATGCTGTTGGATCACCTGGCGCCAATTGTAAGGACGGACGTGCCTTCCCAACGTGCCATTGTAGGACCACAGCTCACTCGTCATGTTTGTGAAGTTGAGTCCCTGGCGAGTATAGTGATTTTCATGCGACATCTCCACGCTGACATTGGACACCGTGATCTTCGATGCTCCGTCAATTGGTGCTAGTCCCTTCGCACTAATCTTTAAGCTCACGTTTTTTAGTTCCCAATTATAATTTCCAATTCCAAAAAGTTTGCCTTAACCTTCCCATCTATCGATGTAGATAAATACGGAGGGTGATTAATATAAGCACTTACTCCCCCTTCCTTTACTGCACTTTGAACTTATTTCATTTATCTATTTGTATATTTGTATATTGTTTGGTGCGGTCAATTTTTCTATTGGAGTGTAAAATTTGAAGGTTTTCACTTTAACATGTACCGCAAAATTGACTTCGGAGGAGTTTCTAAAGACATACGACTCGACGTATGTAATGACAATGCCCAACTTTATTGGTGAAAAAGACATCATTGATCAGTTCATCAGTTAAACGGTACTTTCTTCCGGAAAATCATCCTGAAAACGGGGGCAACGAGTGAAGCAAAAATTGAAGGGAAACCTTTTGCGAACAAAGGGAACATATCTAACTGTGAAGTCACCCGATATTAAATAGTCCTCTCGAGTTTCGACGACTTTCGACAGTTCGGATATTTGAAACGTCTGTTTCAGAGAAAATCAACAAAGCGCTAGACGAACTTTGGATAAAAAAGTTTGACGATGGTCTCCACTTGGATTCCTCGGCTCATATTAAAGTTAAAAATTTGAAATTTTGCACATAAGATAAATCTATACTACTTCAATTGAAGGGACAAAGGACATTCATCGTTGACGGGTTTAAGGTTAAGAGGTTGTCGCAACTAACAATAAGTGTAAGTGTTTATATTAATCACCCTTTGTATAATGCCAAATCAGTCTCATAGAATCCACCGACGACTAAAAGTGGAAATGTTATTGAGTAGTTTGCAATAAATGTTCCATTTTCGTCGAGAAATTCTGTAAAGATATTCTCCTGTCCATCGAATCCAATAGCTGTCGAGTTTCTGTCAAACATGAAAAGTTATTTAGCGATATACATAATTTGGTTTATTAGACTAGATATTTATTATTCATGATGAAGTATGTATTTCTCGCCACGTGCAAAAAGTATTTGCATTATTATTACTTTGAAATGCATGTAATGCCCGTATGTTTTTGTGAGCAAATGAAAACTCTTCCAATCAAAACCTCATCGTTTTAACCTCATCGTTTGTCATTTCTAGTACGCATACCTGATTCTTAGAAACCCGCCGAATGAGTCCGAGTCTTGATTTCGATATATCACTTGTGTGTCGCTGTCGGGAAGGTTGATAGGTTCCTCCAGATTGATCAAAGCTGCAGATGAAACGAAGTGATCAGGTTGACTCGAAAGTGCGCTTCCATCAGGTTGAAAAGTTGCAGCGAATCGACTTGCAAGATTTTTCACTAAATTGTATAAATATTTGGATTTTTCACTCATTGCGTACATTCTTATGACAATATACTTATCATATGTACGCATGTAAATGTTTATATATACACCTGTGGGATAGCTGATTTGTGTGTTAAGTAGTCTAAATTCGACGTGGTCATCATCTGCAACTTCCGCGTGATGAAGCCCATTCACTTTATTTGAAATTGAACTTGAAGGAACTGATTGAACATTAATTCCGTTCTGGTCGTCGTTTAAGTCCGGTAAAAACACTTGAAGTTCATTGGTGTTTAGACAGCTCAATTCAATCTGAGATTTGATGCATTCATCTATCAGAAAAAATTCAGGAAAACATTGCGCATTTGTAATTTCATTCATTCATTTCATTTGGAACCATTAATCATAATTAACATCGATAATGAAATACGATTTGGTTTGTCAGACGATACGCAAGCTTAAAAATTAATAAAAACGTTCATTGTAGAATTTTGAATTTGGTGAAAACCCGAACGTTTTTGAAATGGACTTATTTGGTTAAGTGCAATATTTTCTTGCTAAGAGAGATAATTTTAAAACAATTGTCTTTAAATTTGTGAAATGGGGCAAAAATTCGAGGAGTTTGATCCTTTTGAAAAAATGTTGCTTAGTGTAAAGCTCGTGCTCTGGAAACTCAAAAATAGGTATCTTTGTTTTTTTGTCTTCGAATGAACTTTTGATAAACTTTTCAAAATCATCTGGTCACTGGATACCACCGCATGAGTAAAGTTTAAATTTTTGTAGTTATTGACCTGAATGTATTAGATCCATTAGACTGCAATCCTAAAATTTACATAATATTGATGTTTCAATGCACAAAATAAGCATGAGCTTGTTAATGATGACTTTGTCTCACTCGATAGAAATTTTGCAAGACGCACTTGGTCATTTCATTTACAAGATTATCTATTTCAACGAAATTGGCCGCGTCCTTCCAGTCCCACCAAAAATAAGTATGGATGTCTTGGATGGATTCGACGGTACGAACCCACTCGGTTATCTCAGTAAAACCAGTACGCCCATGACTGATTAGTGAAAGATTTGTAAAATGGACGTCAGGATTTTTGAAATCAATAGAAATCTTGGCTGAACTAATGGACACATTTCCAACGGGAGGAGCTCGTCCTTCGACTTGAAGAAAAAAATCAAACGAGTTAAGCGACATGTCGTATCGTCCGTTCCCATCGAATGTCATGTTCGGTGTGGTCCGAAAAGTGGGAACATTTCTTAGATCGGTTTGATATTTCCCCTGAACTTTGAGTCGAGAAGCCTGAATTCTTAGTTTCGCTAAAAAGTCGCCTTCAACATTAATGAATTCTATGGTGAAATCATCCTCTATCGCCGATGACCCAAGCAAATGGTGCGACCTGTGTATTAAATATATGAAATACTTAAATTATATTTAAACTTTTCACATAGTATATTAGCATATTCGGCTATCAGTTAAAACAAATTAGATATCGCATTTGCTTATTTTGACCAGTGTGCAAAAAAGGCAGCATTTTTGCTGTTTTGCGTCCCTTTTTGTCTGTTTGATGCCTTTTTGGTGCCCTTTTGCCCGATTGCATAACATATAATCAAATTATTTGTGCTAGTCGCCTTATTTGCATAAACTTTATGTCATTGAGTTTATTCGACATGGAAAGTCCGTATCGTCGAAAATGGGCATAGTGAGATTTATGAAGATGAAGTGACACGCCTGAGTAGGAGGATAGTAAATTATACTGGTTATTCCCATTAGACTTTACTTCGCTCCATTAGAGTGTTGTGTAGTATTAGCAATTTTAACTAAATTTACTACATTAAAATTTAACCGGGCCAATGTGTTTATGATCATACGTCGGATATGAATGAAAAATGACTTTTTCCATTTATTGACCTACAGTCGCCAAAGTTTCTGAGAATGTTTATGATCACTAGTAGGTCACGTAGGTCAAACATATTTTCTCATATTGGTCATATTTTCGGGTTTTGGGACATATTCATATTCCCGATCATATTTCGGGTTTTTTTTCGTTCATTTTATCATTTTTGGCCAAATTCTTAGATTTGGCAACCAAATCGACAGAAAGTGACAAAAAATTCAGTTTTCTCACAATGATTCATTCTGAGAAACTTTCAGAAATTTACGTTCACTTTCGCCTAAGGTGATTTAATTCATTGGGAATGCATTAAATCACCCCAGAACTTGTTTATTTGATAAAAATTGAGCATTAAAAGAAAATATATCAAAAACTTGAGCCAAAAATTAAAAAAATAAAGTCATTTTTATGGTCATATTTTGGGGATTTTTACGGTAATTTTTCATTCATATTTTAAGGTTTTATCGGTCATTCATATCCGACGTCTGTTTATGATTGTCTTTGCATCGTCATCAGCTTAATTAATCAAACTCTGGGGCCAAGGGTCATACTTGAAAGAATCATATGCAACGCAATAAATAACTTTCACTTTATTTTTGTCGAAGGATTTGCGTCCCATCTCGCCCAAATTAGCAAAACGGCAAAAATGCACACAATTTTGAGGGACCCAAGGCAAAAAAGCACTGCCTGCCTTTTTGTCCTTTGACGTATTAATGAAAACCATGACAGACTTGATTGATTTAATCTTAGAGTATTTAATAAACCGTTGCAAACGAAATGTAGCAAAGGGGTGAAAACACACGGAATTGTCTTTGTGGCACGCCCACAACGTCTTTCTGCACTTTCCCGTCATTGTCTCAAATTACCCCACGTCTTATTTTGCCCGTTTTGACACCCCTACCCGTGTACTTCAAACGTACACGACAATACCTTTCAATAGACACCCCACATGACAAAAGTCATTTTTTCGACATTTGACACCTCCCACACGGTCATGGAGTCGTCGCACGTCGAAATGATGGCGATTTCTGAAATCCCCGTCCCAAAATACGTCTAAAACGGTGGACACAAAACATTTGACAATTTTCGAATTTGGCGTCGTCTACACGGTCACACGGTCAGCGCACATCGAAATGATGGCGATTTCTGAAATCCCCATCCAAAAATACGTCTAAAACGGCGGAAACAAAAAATTCGACACGTTTGACCGTTGGCGTCATCACAGTGGCGCCGTGACCTTACGACCTACAACGCCCATCTTCGAACTCATCCCGTCCCTAAAAATTAGAAACACGTTGGCGAAAACCGGATGTCGAAATTCGAATCCGTTCTAAAGTTATCGTGGATACGGACGGACAGACAGACAGACAGACAGACAGACAAGACATTTCCATAAAGGGGTTTTCACCCCTTAATAATATTATCTACACTGGAAAAGCCCATGGTAAATTTGAAAACAATAGTTTTTTGTTCCAGATTTAGGTGGGATGGATTTGGGTGAGGGTGGGGGTGGAATTATAAATGCCGCAACTCCATCCCTCTTCCATGTATTCAGATTATGTATTCAAATGGTGATTTTGAAACTTGTTCATCTCTGTACGTTTTTTATAACTTGAAGATGTGCATCTAAAAATCGATAATTTTTATGTTTGCAAAGTAAGGAGGTTAGAATTTTGATTTTTCTCTTCAATGAGCAAATACCTATTTAATGTGTTCTTATTATTTCTCATATATTTTATTTCTATTTGCTTATAGAAGAGACAAACCAAAATTCTAACCTCCTAACTTTGTAAACCTAAAAATTATCCATTAAAAAAAATAAAAGCTTCACTTAAAAAAACGCAAGTAGCTGAACAGGTTTCAAAATAGCCAGAATACAGATTTATGTATGCAGATTGGGTGACCGACTATAATGGCTAGGCTTTAAGTATGCAAAGTTTGAATCTGGATTAATAATATCTTACCAAGATCCAGTGTACCCAATTATAGAAACTACCAGCCACTCATAGTAATATGGAACGAAAAACCGTAAGTCAATTCCGACAGCAGGAAGGTCAGTCGAAGTTTTAACTGAACATAGTAAATTAATCATTTACTTCATCCCGATTTATAAATTTCGAGATAACATTAATTTTAAACTTACTGTCCTGAACCAATTTGCGGATTTTTGCGGACAAGCGAGTTTCTAGTAGATTACGATCCGAGACAACTGTGATGTGACATTAACAATCCAATGATGTACTTAATTATGAGATAATTTAGACACAACATTTATTCAAGTACTTACGAGGATCTTGACTTTGAAACGACAAAATATCCCCAATTAAAAATATGATGGCTAATATAGCCATCAAAATTACGTGGTCACATTTACCCATTTTTCTCAATTTTGTTTTCTGGATCGGACTTCGTAAATTGTATTTATTTAAGTATGAATATTTGAAACAGTTTTCCTCGTTGGTTTAATTGGATTATGTTCAATTTTCAGATAAGTGATGTATCTTAATTACAAATTTTCCATAACGGAATAATGTTTGAAATAGTGCGGTGGATGTTCTTATAATGGATCCGATTTGGCATCAAAGGCGCCGCCTTTGATGCGGCTTTCATTAACTTTTTATCTATTTATACTGTTTCATGTCACATGTGTAAGTTTGTGGAGATGACTAATTTTTTCGAGTTTCTGGAAGCGTATGAAAATATAGTTTGAATGTTTAAATGCATTTGGCTCAAATCAATAAATTGTGTGAAACTAAAGCCAACATGAATATGGAAAAATTTGGACAATCCAAACACGCATGTAGGTCATGCGTACATACATCACATCTCAGACCATATACTTCCATAAGTATTTACATGCTTCTGCACCAATGTACTGCATTCTATCTATTACGCAGTAGTTCACACAAGTAATTAAAAAGTGTTTACTTACTTGAGTAAGCATCCCGTTACATTATGGACCGTCATGGGCCATGGACCACCAAATGAATTGGTCCATCGATGGGCCACGTGTCACGTGTGATGGACCAATCTATTGCGAGCTATGATCACGTACAGGTTCCAATTGTTAAATTATCTAATCTAGTTATGTATGTATATATTGTTACCAAGACTCATAATAAGTACACGCGTATTATGACGAAATTAATTTCTTCATGCCTCAAAAACAGTTTAAGGTAAACAACGCTCTTCAGAATTATGATTTATTTGTACATTTAATTTTATATAATCTTTATACGTGTGCTTACGTATGTAACTACATGTATAAATTTACTTACGAGTGCTTTCATATTACGGGGAAACAGCTTGAGCGAAGTCTTGCGTTGAATCATCTCAGCATGAATTGGACTTTAGTACAACGCTTATCATAATAATAATCACTTTGAAGTTTACAAAGACATACCCAAAACAAATCGACAATGTCAAAATATGTACCTACTTTCATTTTAATTTAATTTTCATTTTCATTTTCAACTTGGTAATAGGCAGACCAACTTGAAAATAAATCCTGGCTGAATTAAATTTTCTTAAAAATGTTCCCAACTATGCACAAAATTCTTCTGCAAGTTCTCGCTTTTCCACTATTCTTAATATTTGGTCCAATATTTCGAATATGGAGATATATCTCTTTAGAAAGTGAATTTTGGTTGGAAACAAGCTTAAAGCGACATGAAGAAGAGGTTGCAAAAATTGTTGAGCAGGTCAAGGTTTGGATAAAGAGTGGACGGGGGACGAAAATGACGACTGCTCGGCCAGGATGGAAAAGCATTTCTGTCACGAAAACGGACAAATCAAAGTATTTTCAAGTTCATGTCGGGCTCGATCGAATTATTTTATTGGGGGAAAAGGAAGAAGTAAATGAAATAGTAAATATCTTGAAATGCATAAATTTCGAAAATTCAGGTCATAGATACTTTTTTCTATAGTCTATCACAGTCGAGCCTGGCGTGATGATTGGTCAATTGTCTCGCTATCTCTTCAAAAGGGGGTGGACCACCCCCATCGTACCAGAATTGGACTCACTTTCAATTGGTTAGGGCATCAAGTACTGTTTTTTTAATTCCAAATTTCTGTAAACTTGAAAAAACTTAATTCAGGTGGATTAATCTGTGGCGTGGGGATTGAGTCCAGTTCTCATAAACGAGGTCTTTTTCACGAGACGGTGCTCTCGTATGAAATTGTGCTTGCAGACGGAAGTGTCGTCAAATGTTCCGAGGTCAGTTTTAAATATCTGAAACACTTCATTGGTTAGGTATTACTTGGGGATTATTTATACTCTAGGACAAGGAGTCGGACTTATTTCACGTCATACCCGGGTCATTCGCAACGATTGGATTCTTAACTGCGGTCACAATCCCGCTAATCCCTGCAAAGCGGTACAAAGACCAAAAATACATAATTCGTAATTATGTACACCCATAAATTGAGTCAATTCATAGTTGGGAAATTACATCGAGGACTTCGTACCGTTTTTTAGGTGCAAAGTTTTACAACAATTTTTACGAATGTATTTTAGAGTTTGTAAGCAAGCCAAATTAAGGCCTCTTTCTTATTTTATAAATGATTCTGACACAATTTTACAAAAATTACGGAATTTACAATTACCAAGCTCAGAATATAATTATTTCGCAGCTTCGTGAAGCTAAACTACCGACCAACTTCCTCCATCGCCGGACTGAACTCTCTTTTAAAAAGTGAACCCAATCACGACTTTGTTGAAGGCTTAGCTTTCTCCAAGAATGAAATCGCCGTCATGTTCGGCGACATGGTTGACACAGTCGCACCCGGCAAAAGTGTAAACTACATCAATCGTTGGTACAAACCTTTCTTCCATGATCACGCCCACTCGATTCTGAAGAAGGGGCATGACTCGTTTGTCGAATACGTTCCACTGATCGACTACTATCATCGTCATTCCAAAGGAATTTTCTGGGTTATTCCAGGAACTACCTCTTTTACGAGTTATTCCGCATTCATGTTCTTTTTTGGATGGACCCTCACTCCGCACATTCCTTCCCAAAGACTATTGCCGGTCACTTTGTGGAAATTTTTCAGTTCTGGAAATGTGGTTCAGGATTATATTCTTCCTATGAAAAACGCGCAAAAGTTTTTTGATAAGGCGGACGGAATTTTAAAGGTATCCCAAAAGTCTGGGACTTGTCTAAAATAAAATGTTAAGCGATAAATCTTGAAAGTCCACATTTATTATAATCGAAAGAAATTCAATTTCATATCAATAGTACAAAATTATGCAAAATCGTAGGAAAATTTCGCCAATATTATGAACCGAATGATTTAATTCTGATAGATCTACCCAGTCTGGCTGTGCCCTGTGGAACTGAAGAAAAATAAAACCATGTTTCGTTCCCAGGGGGACGGCGATTATCTTGACATTGGATATTACGGACATCCCGCGGCTGCTAATTTTCACCCCGTAGGAACGTTACAAGATTTGGAGAAAGAGTGCATCGCGAATGACGGGTAGTGATTTCTTTATGTCAATTTATGTACTTGCACAGATCACTCATCGTCAATGATTATTACAGGTTTCAATTGTTGTACGCTGAGAGTTTCATGTCACGGGAACAATTTCGCGATATGTTTGACACGACGACCTATGACAAAGTGAGAGAAAGTTACGAATGTTCTGCCGCTTTCCCGGACGTTTATGATAAGGTTGGTCCCAAGGCGAGAAATTTCTTGACTAGTAAGGATTAAAGGTATATTAAAATATATGAAAAAAAACATGAAAAATTTGCATAATCTTTAATAGTCAAGGTTACATACATAACATAAACTCGATGGTATGAGATTCTAGTAATGATCAGTAAAATTCAATCGCCGTAAATCTAGTTTTCGCCCCTATTTAATTTGAACTTGAACCATACCAAATATAATGCATAATATGCATTGCATATTAAATAAATACTTATTGGTTAATGAAACCTTAGAAATTGCGTGCCTTTAAATAAAAGTGTTTCATCAATTGTTAGTGGTACTCATTCATGCATAATTAATTAACAAATTAGTCCTTCGTATTTCTTTGTCAAAAATTCTGAAGCACAGACTCCACCCGACAAATATCACCCACATCCGGTGAGCCTCTTCATTTAAATCATGTCTTATCCATCTTCTTCCCAACTTTCAAGTCAATAGGGTCTTAAGTTTTCTCAGACCTGGTAAAGTAATTTCAAAGTTACAGTAATTTCAAAGTTAAATGGACGAATTGTAACCTTGTTTATATTGTGCGGGGTCATTGGAATGATTGGGGTTGCGTCTCTTGTTTTAGAAAATTACAGGAGCATAAAAACATGTTTAAAATCATATTGGACGAATTTGGACAAATTGACTTCGCCTTGTAAATTTGCATCGAACAATGCTTTAAAGATTATAGGACGTGGTAATTTAAATATGTAGCATTCTAAAACTTTTATTGATATGCATGTATATGGACTTTAGCAGTGAAAAATGGAGTCCATTTTTGGTACGATATTCTATACACTGCATGTAAATATTTCGAAATATGTAATCACCTTAGTACAACTTGACACAAAAGCAAGGCCATAAGACGGTTTTGACCAAGGATTAATAAATATGTAAATAAATGCAGACGGACGGACGTATGATTGCTGAATTGCGCATTAAGTTTAATGTGTCGATACTCTTGAGGGAAAATAAATACAGATTTTGCAATATTCTCGTCGTATTTTGAGTCTATTTGTAAATAATGACATTGTATTTAAAAATTTCTTCAATTTAACTTGCAAAATGGTTAACTGTTCGTACCACTGTGTGCTTGAATTATTAATTAAGTAGGTACATATATCCAGGCAAGAATTAAGTACACACAAAACGTTCGATCCAAATTATATCAATATCCACGCTAGATATCTGTAATTTATATGCTGTACAAAATACCTACATAGATACCACGTTGAGAGGAATATTTAGTCACTAAATACGCAGACACCATTGACGTCAATCTTGACAACAATGTACTCCTCATATTTTCTCCCAATTTTGAAACAGCATCTCAGAATGTGTTCTTTTCTGAAAGGCCTCCCCTTTGAATATGATGACGAAACGGGTCTAGTCGTAAAAACCAGGTGTCACGGCACAATTATAATTTTCAAATTGCAATGCCTCCTCTCTGTTCTGTACTGCTCAGCCATGTTTCTCAACTTGGTTATCGGGCCGTCAACTCTGATCGAAAAATTGAAGGGGGTAATTTTCTTTCTGATGTATTTCAACACAACGATTGCTCGATGGAACTACTCACTCGACCCGACGCCGATCCAAGTTATCAATTCGTTCCTCAAGTATGAGGCGACTACATTGCGAGGTACGATTTAGATCCAGCCGTAAAATTATTGAGAAAATTCGTTTGTTTGTGTCAAATTTTGTAAAATTTTGTAAAATTTTGATTATGATTAAAAAGTTCCAGTTAAGATACATACATAAATCATAATTTTACCAAATTCACTGCGAAACTCATTAATTTTGGCATTTTATTTAACTTTAAGGTGCCCAGAGATCCATGCCACCATCACGATCTGCCCTCGCAATGACGCTGTACATGCGAATTGTCGAAATCTCAATAATTTTCATACCTGGAATGCTCATCCTAATCTTATCGTATCAGCCGTGTCTGCCCCCGTTCATTTTGTCCATGTCGAGAAGTTGTGAATCGACATATTTCACACCTTGGACATGTTGTCACCGGGTCAGAAAATTGATGATCGTAGGCGTGCACTTGTTCGAAACTTGGATGGGATTGCACATCATCGTTTCAGGGTATACTTGGCTGGGTTTCGCACTCTTTGCAGGAATTACATGCATCGTACATTACTTCAGGATACTGGAAAGGTATGTAATATACATAAGATTTCTATTTTACGTATTAAACGAACGCGTTCATTCGGCCGATCTAAACTTATTTGAGATAACTGGGACAACTGGTCACGCATAATTATTTATGACGAAATGTCGAATCTGTCTGAATCAGACAACTTAAAAAAATATTTTCTTGTACACTTGCAAAAACTGTGAGTGACGCGAAGTGTCCCATTGTTAAATATCTACACATCCTAAAAGCTTAAAAATGCAATATTTTTAACAGGGAAGCTTGCGCAATCTTCAATTCACGGGATTACGAGGAATGCATCAGCTTCTACTGGCAGATTCAAATCCTAGAGAAAATTTTGAACTCATTCTTGAGTGCTAAAATCGTCCCGAGCACGATTCTAACGCTTCCATTGCATCAGATTATTGCTCAATACGTTTGCATCAAACTGCACGATGAGATCCCGCTGCCGGGATTTGTCGTCTTTCCGATCATCTTGTTAGAAGTGCTGGTAGTCAACATTTTGGTGTTCACATTGGCCTCATGGGTGCATAACTCGTCGCAAGATATCATTCAAAAGTTGGGCGGAAAATTGATCTGCCCTGGACGAAATGTCAGGTTGAGAAGAATGATCAAGGCGTGTGCCGTCCTAAAGGTCAAATTCGGGTCAAACTTTGTAGATAGAGGGACACCGCTAGTCATTCAGGACTTCTGCTTGGGACAAACCTTGAACTTAATTTTGATCAAGGGCAAGAAAACTTATGGATAAGATGATAATTTTTCGAATATGCATAAAATTTCATAGTTTTATGCTGTTGTGTTTATCTATTAAGTTTTAATTGCTTGCATATAATTGCATGAAGTTATTCAATATTTATCATTTAGAATCACTAATAGCATATATATATATATATACATACGTACACTGATGCGATCTATTGTTCGTCAAAGGGAACGCCATTTGGTAAATCGAGGTTCTACGAAAAACAACAAGTTATATTCTTATGATTATTTTGGCAATTAGTAGACAAATTAACTCGGAATATCGTGACCTAAATTCATTTTCCACAAAAAATTGTGTATGGGGTAAATAAAGATTTTTCCGAGGTAACTTAAAATCAACCTGGAAACAATTGTTCGTCATTTTGGTGCTTTCCTTGAAAACAACCTCGTTTTTGCTGGTGCGTATTTTTTATATTTTTTTAATATTTAAAATTATTACTTTCCTTCATTTAGCATGAATTCTGATGTAAATAGATCATGCCGAGGAGTAGGAAAGAGACGTCTTTTGATATTCGGAACCTGGTCATTAAATATCACGAGGGAGACGATAATGGCCAGAAAACTCAGCAGGAAATAGCAGCATTGCTAAAAATTCCTCGCACGACGGTTCAGTATATAATTAAAAAATATAAATCATCTGGATTAATTATAAACAAGCAAGGTAGAGGTCGAAAGCCAATATTTTCCGTGAAGGAGAAGCGCGCCATTGTCAGGAAAGTGGCCGCCAACCCCAAACTGACGATTTCGAAAATCAAAGTTCAGGTTGAAAATGAAACAGGAAAGACAGCCAATCGGAAGACCATAGCGAACGTGCTGAAATCTAGAGGATTCAAGAGTTGCAGAGCTAGGAAGAAGCCTCTCATATCCAAAGCAAACCTTAAGAAACGACTTGCGTTTGCTAAAGAGCATGTCAACAAAAATCAAAATTTTTGGGATTCAATTCTATGGTCCGACGAGAGTAAGTACAACATTTTTGGGTCAGACGGGCGTGCCAGGGTGTGGAGGAAGTCTGGGGAAGCTCTTCAAATGAGAAATTTGAACCCCACAGTCAAACACGGAGGTGGAAGCGTAATGATTTGGGGGTGCTTCAGCTCTGCCGGAACCGGAAATCACGAATTTGTTGATGGAATTATGAATCAGCACATGTACCAAGGTATCCTAGACCGAAATGTTAAACAATCTGCGACGAAACTTTGTCTAGGTCGCCGGTATATCTTCCAACAAGACCGTGATCCCAAACATACCGCCAAAACAACTTGGGAATTCTTTAAAAAAAACAAAATAAAAGTCCTAGAATGGCCTCCTCAAAGCCCGGATCTTAATCCCATCGAACATTTGTGGGACCACATTGAGAGAACGATTCGAAAAAGTGAAATTTCTAGCAAGCAGAGCCTGAAAACCGCAATTTCTGACGCATTTCAAACCGTGACCCCGGAAGTGACCCGCAAACTTGTGGAATCGATGGGGCGACGCTGTCAGGCGGTTATATCTGCTCGGGGAGGACCAACTCGTTATTAAATATCACTTGTTGTATTAAATTGTTATGATTTATATAAAAATTTGAAATTTAATACAAATGACGAACAATTGTTTCCAGGTTGATTTTAAGTTACCTCGGAAAAATCTTTATTTACCCCATACATAATTTTTTGTGGAAAATGAATTTAGGTCACGATATTCCGAGTTAATTTATCTACTAATTGCCAAAATAATAATAAGAATATAACTTGTTGTTTTTCGTAGAACCTCGATTTACCAAATGGCGTTCCCTTTGACGAACAATAGATCGCATCAGTGTATGTACATAAATTTCAACAGAAAATTAAATTTTGAAATTAAAACGTGCAAAAACTAACTACATACAACCAGTAGCATTGATGGGAAATCGATCCAAACTATAATTTCTATTTCCTAACCTTATGCCTGATATTATTGGTGGATATTGCATAAATAAATACTCGCAAATTATATTAATAAATTATGATGAGTACATTGGCGGAGGTTAAAACTAAAACTAAAATTTACTTTACACAGGAGGCCAAATAATTCGATTTATGTACATTCCTCTACGTATTCTTTCAGCTATTTTGTGTATACAGGTAACATCGTACATAAATTCTTGGGACTGACTTAAATAGGTTCTTTATCTGCAAAAATGTGCCAGTTTGTATTTAATAAACTTGTTATAGCATACGTATTTGAGGCAGATTATGAAAGTAAGTAGTATCTACTGGTAAAGTTGTCTAAATATCAGTATCTAAAATTCATAACAATTGTGGTGTTCATACTGTACATATATTTCTAATTAAATGCGTAAATTATAGATTCATCATAAATTGTGTAAATAAGTTATTGTTCTTCTATAATAATCCTGGCCCCCATTTCACCCACCATCATGGATGGAATGTTCGTGTTGCCGTTGGGTGCTCGGACAAAGACGGAAGAGTCAATAACTCGAAGTCCACTGGTGCCAAACACTCTGCAAAAAGTTGGGAAAGGTCACTAAAATTGGAAGTAATTTGTACTACTCTTATTCTCACCTTAATTTGGAGTCCACTCCTGCCACGGTGATATTAGGTCCCATCCGACAGGTTGAGGTGGGATGGTAATACGGCACAGCGGTCTGATGCACGTAACAACGCCAGTGTTCCCGAGATGGAAAAGTGTACTGGGAACAGGCCGGAAGTAGAGGGACATTTTCACTCCACTTAATTCCGAGAGATTGAAACGTCGACGAATTGAGGAAAATGTCCGTCATGAATTCAATACCTGTGTAAAGTATGTATATTTTAAACTCATTAGTAAATACAAAAATATAAATTTCTGACACTACGTGCAAAATGTTCAACAAATAATTCATTTTCAAATTTTATAAATTTTCTTGGTTCAAAAATCATGAAATTTTCAATGGAGACAAGCAACGGTCCCAAAAAGATGGGAATCTTAGTGAGGCTTGGTACAACTACAGATATTAAATATATTTTCCGGAAGAGAATTTGCCTCACCAAGATTTCCATCTTTTTGGGACTTTGTTTATTTAATATTTGTAATTAATAGTTTTTTGGATGTTTTGTTGTCAATGGTGTTGCTATTTTATTTATCCAGTTTTTTGCACCTCTCATAGGAAAAACTTTGTCATTTATCAACCAATTTGGATCATTCTAACCTTAAAATTTGCACAAAAATTTGCTCTAAAATTTGTGCAATTGGATTTTCGCTGAGATATGCCAGTAATTAACTATAAATATAAATGTGTTTCTACGGGTAAATTTTTGATAATAAGTCGGCTGAAAATCAAAAATTCGCTAAGTCGAATCGATAAACTTTTTTAAATTGTCTCAAAATGATCTGTGCAAAATTTCATCCAAATCGGTTGAGAAATGGCTGAGATATCGTAAAATGTCACTTTTTTTAACGATATTAACTGCATACTTAGTAATTTTTTCGTTGTTAGGTATTTGCCTCACTAAGAAAAATACCTTAAAATGGATGAATGAAATTGGTAAGTTATAAATAAGTTTTATAAATACATACGTAAATTTTATCTTCGCATTTTTACGTTTCAACATTTCAAGATTTTTCATACAACACTAAAATGTAACTTACCATCAAGAATTCTCTCCACGTCGTAAATATTTTCAAAGAATTTTCCATCGATTAGCACATCATCTGAATAATTGCCACTCGCCAATCGTACCGTTCCCACCTGTTCACTCCGAACTAGTTCAATGTCGAAAAATATTGTTTCCTCTTCTACCCCATTTCCCGGCGTGAGAACTTGTTCGTGGATATAAACATGTAAATCTGGCCAGTTCCTATCGTTGTAATCGGAGTGGGTGCTGCTAATGTATCCATTGGCAATTTGTGGGGCAAAATTAGCGAATCCAATCGACGTTGGGAACATTAGGAGTGGTCCTGCAGCAGAAATATGTAATTAAACCTTGGCAATTTCAAGGATCGGATTTTCACCAGTTTTATGTAATGTATGTACCTGTTCCTGTGGTCACAAATTCTGCCACATTTTCCGGCGTTAAATAATCCACTAATCCCAGCGACTTGTTGATTGCGAACGGGTACGCCGATACGCCAGGATGATCTTGGAAATTACTTCCAATCGCGGGAGAGTCAACGATTACAGGAATCTGTACGACAAATTATTCGGAAATTTTGGAAAAGTGTTCTCAAATTGAAAATTCCTCTTACTGAATGTTCCTCTAAATGTTGTCTTGGTCCGATACCGGAGAGCATGAGGAGTTTTGGCGTGTCAAAAACTCCAGCCGACAAGATTATCTCTTTATTTGCACCGACATATCGTTCCTGACCATGTCTCATGTAAGACACCCCGATTGCATGATTTGTCTCATTGAAGTGAATCTGCAGATTTTTAAAATAATTATTAAAATATATATTTAATTATTTTTCATACAATTAAATAATTATTATGTTCACTAACCTTCGTTGCCCATGCGTACCTATAAATCTTAAAATTTTCTCTGGCTTCAATCGGCTTGATAAAGGCGTGGTAACTACTCCATCTTAATCCGTCCTTAATATTGGAGTCAATTTTCGAAAAACCGTAGGGAAACAGACCAGAATTTAGGTCACCAATCGGGACACCTTTTTCTTCCAGGGCTGCAAATAACTCGTCCACTCCAGGCAGAAATTCCAACTTTCCGACATGCATTTCCCCTTCTGCGCCATGATTTGGACCTGAGACACAAGTTAATCACATTAAAATTTGGGTCAGGATTACATACAATTTTTTATTTCATTTTACTTGAATCGTCTTCATAGAAGCCGTGATAATTTTCCAAGCTCTTGAAAGCGTCCAGCACACTGGCGAAGGACCATCTCGTATCGTTCGTAAATTCTGCCCAGTAATCGTAATCTTTTGGGTTACAACGATTGTACAGGAGCCCATTTACAGAACTACTTCCCCCAAGGGCACGACCGCGTGGATATGCACAAACCTGGACCAAATTACATTTATTACAGACTATACAAACTGTACAAACTATTTAATTGCAATTCGTACGGATTGGTCAAAATTAGTAATGCCTAAGCCATGTAAAAAAACAGGGTAAGCATAATAATTGAAAAGAAAGAAGCTCTTATGTAGTGACCCTGACCCTCCAAGTTATGTATGTAAAATTAAAATAGTCCCTGCCATTTCAAACAAATAAAAATAAGTCACACTGGCAAAACTATTTACATGCGGTATTAGATAGACAAGCGTTACACGCACTTGGTGTTGTGCTGTGAATTCTCAATTTGTACAATAAAAAAAAACACGAGTCATGTCATGTTATAGAAAGATAAGATACATACATACATTGTAATGATAAGTTAAATAAATAATGCAAATTTCCATACTCTTATCAATAAAAATTACACATTTTCGAATTTAACACAAGTAAGCCAAGTCCTTAACGTTTACTTACTTACCCCACCATTTTGAAGGCACGCCCTCTCCTGCGGCACACCCACATATTTCATCACCATTTCACTCTCCCACAGCAACAATTGCGCCAGTGGAATCTCACTCGACGGATTTGGATCGCCCCCTCCTTCGAGCAAAAGTACGGTGTAATTCCCATCGGCCGACAACCTATTCGCCACGACCGCGCCGGCCGCACCCCCACCGACAATTACGTAGTCGTAGTATTCCGTAGGGCCCTCGCCCTCCTTGTTTGCGGATGATAACGTGTGGTCACTTATCCTTAATATTTCGTCGTACAGCTTAATCTGTTCGATGCCATTGTTCTGGTGAACAGATTTTTGCCAAATTTGAGTCGGATTTCCAGTCAGATGTATTATCGCGATGGCGAACGGGATGGAAAACCGGGCCAAAAAGTCGGCCAGCATTGTTACAAAAATAAATAAAATGTTTCTGGAAAGCCCACTCCGCAAAAAAAAGAAACTTGTTCCAGGTACAGAAACGTGTCAGTTTTAGTTTAAGTATTAAGTGTCAGGTGTGAGATTCCCATTATTATTAATAAATTCACACTCAAGTAGATTACAGGTGGAGATAAGGGTCGCTTGTTGCTCTTAAATTTGCTTATCAAAATAAATCCATTTATTTAATGTATTCCATCAATCAAACTGTCTCCGGGATGTGAAGGTTTTAGTGTGACAATCCATCTTCCAAACGTTCTTTTGATACTTTTCAGACAAAAGTACTTGGAAAGTAACGTAGAATGCATATTATACACCAAATTTCACAACACACCGTGACAATTCATAACTTCTAAAATGTAAAACCAGATTCGGATCTTCAAGATGTGCAATTTCGCAATGCGACTCAAAGTACACACATGCGTATTTATTTCTAAAATATGAATACCGGCCACGACTATATATGCACATCGCAACTAATTGACCAAGCAGTGTGCGAAATAATCTTGTCAAGTAAAATCATGCCATTTATTGGACAAATTTTTTTAAAAAACCTATGCTTTTCCAGCACAACGTTTTGTAAAATCTGGCAAAACCTCACAATGTATATTAATGAACAATGCTCAATTTTGCGATGTTTGTCAGCTAATGTAGATAAGTACATATGTATGCGTAAGTTGCTATAAATATATAGACACATCCAATGAAAAATTTTCAAAATACACAAAACACGCATTCTACTAGTAAGTATTTACATACCAAAAACTCTTTTTATTTAACGTTTTGTATAAAATTCAATGATAATAATTTGGAAACTAATTTTGTTCTTCAACGTGCATTTCATGGTACACAGGTTTGGTTGGCCTCGATAAAGTGATGGTCTATTCCTGGCCCTAAAGTGTCTTGTGGGCATCGATAAACAACCCGGACATAGCGACGATAGTAGTCATACCAAGAGCAGAGGATAAAGTCACAATCTGCGGTGGGACAGTACGTGGCCCGCATGGACATTGGAATGGCAAAAAATCCATCTCGTCGACACGGGTACGGCTCCGTTGCGATCCCAGAAACGCGAAGTCTGTCGCCAAGTAAGCAAAATCCGATCAGACCAAGGAAAATCTGCAAATTTCGTACACATTATTTTTTATTGTCTTAAAACTGTTTGCAAAATCTTACCAATCTGCAATAAATTGCCATAGCTGTAACGTTTTTTAAAGTCTTGTCACCTTGTCACAAGAAATTGGCACTTTGCCATGATTCCTGTCTTTTTATACAACTTTGTTCCTCGCGTCGGCAAAAGTAGAGATTGTTTAACTCCGCAATTAAATCCAAGTAATGTTTCGTGCTATCTTGATTTTATTTTACTTATTGAGCAAGTTATTGGTTCTTATCTGAACACGAGCTGAATTGCATAAGAAATAATATGGAACATGTCAAAGGTATTTGACCCACTTTTGCGTGCAAGCAGATCTAGATTAATTTCTATTTAGTTTCCCTCATTTTCATAAATACATACATATACCTGACTAAACAGGTAACAAATCACTTTATCACACCATGGCGACATAAATATTTGCAATGTTTGCAAAAACAAGTGGTCCAAACAGGAAAAATACAGACGATGTGTCCTCATTCATTCTCATTTCCTGGGTATAATCTGCTCTTCCAAGAGGAACGGATGTAGTTAATCATGGTAATGACTTTTTTAAGTATGTGTCGCGTCCCATAATTTAGGTGAATATCCAAATAAATAATGCAAAATTACAGAAAAATATATACATGTAAGCATGTGCATATCATCTTCATCTTCGATTGTCCAGCTAAATAAATTGAAAAGTTAATTAAGTTTATTAAGTGATGATGATCTAAATTATTGGCATAAAAATGCAAACAATAATAAAAATAATTGATTGACGGTCACAATTACACAAACAAATTGAACCCGATCAATGATACGAAAGCTAACATAATGCTTTATTGTCCAACATGACTCGTGTCTGATTAAATATTGACATGACATTCAATTATTTATCCAGAATCGTATGACCAATGTCACTTAAATACATGCCAAAAACACAAGTGCATTGTTCATCCACTTATCCAATAATACACGGATCGGGGTAAAATATCGTCACATAATAATTCACAAAGTGGATGGATGGATGGATCAAATTACATTCCGGGATTACCAAACATCCTGGAAAGTCCAATCTTCTTCCAGGCATTGGATAAGTGCTTATGCAACCCAATCCGATACCTACTTACAGATAATCCATAATCGTCCCCTAAAAATAAGCCGCATTCCAGACTCAATTAACCCGACGTGGTATTATCATCCCCTATACGGAATTGAATCATCCATCGATAAGCTCACCTTCACCCGTGCTTGGTCGAGGTGACAATGCACATTTTATACATGCATGTCCTCGTCCAGTTCAACTCTTTCGCAACCATTTGACCATCACTCATAATCCGATGACAATCAAACCTACACTCATCAACTAATTAGACAATGGTCCTCTCGATATTCGACCCTTATCTCCAGGAAATTCCACCTCACCCATCACCCCGCAGTTGGGATTTTCCTACAAAAAGCCCCCGTTCCCCGCTCATCGACACAATCCCGTCTCCTCCTGCGTCCCATCGCCATGTCCAAGTTCGTCCTTCTGCTCGCCCTCGCGGCAACCGCCGTCTACGCTGCGCCCTCCTCCAAGATTGAGGCTCGTCTCGCGGCCACGCTCGCCTTCTCGTCGTCAACGGCAAACGTTCTCGTCTCCTTCCCAGGAACGACAGGCCCAGTCCTTGCCCGATTTGAGAAGACCACTTTCGCCACCCGAGGTGCCCGAGCGACCGCTATTGCCGACGCCCTTCGCGCCAACTCGGTCCAAGCTCAATCCGAGGCTCGCGCCCTGCTCGACTCTGCCTCCATTTCGTACGAAGTCTTCTGGATCACGAACCAGATCTACATTCGCAACGCGGATGCCGCCCTCGTCTCGAAATTAGCCGGTCTTCAATCCGTGGCTGAGATCTCGCAAGAGTTCGAAGTCTCCGTCATCCCTCATCACATTGAAGGACAAACCGCCCGAAAGGCTGGTATCTTAGCCGAATGGGGAGTTGAGAATATCGAGGCCCCCGCGGCCTGGGCTCTTCCCGGTGGAAATAACGGCGCTGGCGCGATCGTTGCCGGTATCGATACTGGAGTCCACGCCACGCATATCGATCTTGCGGACAATTTCGTTGGAACAAATTACGGATGGAGGGACGTTACCCTTTTCGGAACGCAGACCCCCAGAGACGACAATGGTCACGGGACTCACACCATGGGCACCATCGTCGGCGCTAACGGAATCGGTGTCGCGCCAGGAGCGAGATGGATCGCTTGCAAGGCTTTGAGCGCACAAGGATCCGGAACCAATGCTGGACTTATCAGTTGCGGACAATGGGTGGCGTGCCCAACTCTGCCAAACGGTCAGAGCCCAGATTGTACCAAGATTCCTCATGTCGTTTCCAACTCTTGGGGAGGCGGTCAAGCTAACCCGTTCTACAATGAGGTTATCAACACGTGGCACTCGATGAACATTGTCCCAATCTTTGCCAACGGTAAGCAACCTTCTCAACTAATTTTACTCTTAAATTGCATATATACCCCTAAAACATATTTTTTTCTAATTAATAGGAAACTCCGGTCCAGCATGCACCACGGCTAACTCACCTGCTGACAGTTTGGCTGGCGTAAGTACACCGAGATCAATGAAATTTTGTGCCACAGGACGATTTGTACCAATTTTGTTTAATATTTTCCAGGTTATTGGAGTGGGCGCTACGACTGATACCAACGGATTGGCATCTTTCTCCTCAAAGGGACCAACCATTGGAGGCCGACCCAAGCCAGATATCTCAGGTGAGTTATTTTATTTCAAGTGTAACGATCAGATTCAAGCAAATTCATATGACCCCGCAAATCTCAAGAACAAACATTAATTGAAAATTATTAAACGCAGCTCCTGGCCAGAACATCCGCTCAGCGTGGCACACCCCAGGCACCAACGCTTAGTGAGTCACCCAGAAAATAGAAATTTCCAAAATTCAGTCATGTATATATTCACATATTTAATTTAATCCTTTAGCAACACCATTTCTGGAACGTCCATGGCTGCTCCTCACGTAAGTTTTATTCGAAATTATGTTATCTAAACTTTAATTTATGAATATTAATTGAAACTTTAATTAAAGGTCGCTGGAGTTGCTGCCCTTCTCAAGGCCCACAACTCAGACCTCACTTGGGAGCAGATTAACGCCAACATGAACAGCAATGCCAACACGCAAAACGTCGTTCCCACCGGACAAAACTGCGGAGGAGTTGACGAGAGCATCTTCCCCAACATGGCGTTCGGAAGTGGAATCGTCAACGCGAGGGCTTCCCTTGCTGCCGCTATTGCTGGAAAATAGATATTAATTACTCATGATTTGGAACATGACCAGTCACTACTAAATTATAATGCAATTGGAGAATAAATCAAAAACACTTTCTCACTCCGATAATTTAATGAATGTATTTTGTTGGGAATTATTTAGCAATGCACAATGTTTGGCATGATAATAGTTTGCATACAGAAGGTATTTTGTAACTGTAATTGTGATTTCTAACTCCGATTAATATATTCGAGTTACTAAAATAACATCTTTATGAAGTTAGTTCTGCCTACATACATATACATGTATATATAAATGAACAAATACTTACATATGTACATGCATATACATGCATGAGTATGTGTTCATTAAATACGTATTATTATCCACACGCTTACGAAAAAGCTTCATTGTGCAAAACAATTTCAGGTAAAATTTTATTTATTTTACAGAAAAGAAAACAATTATTTCAGAAGGCTGGTACAGACGAAAAGCATCCTTTACATAATTTGCTGTAACTAACCTTTCTTCAGGTTTGTAAAATAATTAACACAGAAGAACTATGCAACTATGTATTGAGTATGTGCATACATATGGATACACAATAAATCATGATTTATTCGATTAATTTTTATTTTGCTTGGTCAATGTCTTCCTCAGTAAACAATAGTTTACGTGAGTGAAGTTTCGTTTATGAAAACGAAAGAAATGTGAATGCATGTATATTTAATGTACATACAGAAACGTTCCTTTGTTTGTTACTCAATTCGATATTTATACACACACAAATAGTAAAAACATAGGTATGTGTATGGTTTAACACTAACCATCTACCGAAACAAATATGTATGCGTGAAATATGTTATTTATATATGTTGTATGTATGTATATACACACATAAATACTTTTAAACATGAATACATGAAACTTTTACATCATTTCTTGGCTATTTCGATCTATTCTCTCCTTCTCTAAACTGAATCAAGACCACCAAGAAGGTGAGAATAGTTGAGAAAATCTGGAAGAAAATCCATATGCAAATAAGTAATTAACACCATATTAACAAATCTATTCAATTACCGATGTCAGTAACCGTCTATTCAGCGTAAAGAACGAATCCGGCTCAATCCTTAAAGTATCTCCGGACAATTCATGAATCATTGAAGAAACTCTCCCCTTCATTTCTACGCTTAGTAAGTGCTTCGGAATGCGGCAAAATTTTCGCAGTATTTTCCCCTGATTAATTTCCACTTTTCCAGCCTCAGTCCCCAAGTGGTAAATGATCTTCACGCAAAGTAAGATTGGAATTAGTCTGGACAAGGCGGCAATAATTTCACCAGTTGAAATCCAAGTGACGCCAAGGAACAGGAAGGACAAAATTAACACGGAGTTGTACACGATTTCAAAGCTTATCCGATTCGCAGAAGAGGCGTTGTAGCTTTTCAAAATTTTTATTGTTCGATGATAATTTATTATGCAGAGTTGCAACTTCTTTTCATCCACGGAAATTAGTCGAACTACTTTTTTTACTTGGACATCCGGAAATGGTTCCTGTAAGCAAATTAGTCGTTAGGAGTCGTCGCCTATTTATAAAATATTTTAGAAAAGAGCTCCCAACAACTGTTTTTTATAATATATCAGAAATCGGGTATATTTTTCAAAACGTATCGTGGTTAACAAAGTAAAAATCTTCATAATTTCCTTTTCTGAAAAACGTTACGCGTAAAATCATGCAAATTATTTGACCTACTGGAAAAATGGATGTGAAAAAAAAAATACCGTGAAAAAAACAAATGCATTTTTCAGTCAAATTGCAATCATAATCATACCCCTGCCATCTCATCTTCTTCCCCACCTTCACCACCACCATAAACTAGACGCATTTCCTCACCAATCATCTCCAAACACGCGTTGGTTACTTGGATTGGAAATGTTACCCACAGACTCTGAAAAACATTGAATGCTCCAAACAGATTCCATGATACGAGTGAAAACGCTCCCACTAAACTGATCCCTGTCCGTTTTGCAACGCCTTTCTTTCCAGTCGAAAGTAGGACAAAAGTCACAAAGATTTCCGAAACCAGGACAAATATGAGGGCGACACTGCCAAAAACGGTATTCCTCACTGACACTTTGACCCGTTTAAAGATGTTGCAATGTTTCGCAGTAGGGTCGATACTGATGAGAAAACTGCCGTCTTCATCACTGGATGAAATTCGGGTCAAATCCGTGACAAAAATTGACCATTTTTCGAGAACAATGTTTCGCTTGCAGATGAAGATTACTCGTTTAGCGATGGCCTGAAAGGCAATCAAGCTTCCGTGAATGATGAACGAGACGACTTCCGTGGACGGGAGCAGGGCGGATGTGTCCAGCTTATCGATGAGTGCCGGATACCACTCGATTAACAAAATGGTTTGCCACGTGATGAAAATGAAGGAACAAGAGAGCGGAAAACTAAGGGGATGGAATGCAAGTTTGGAGTTATTCTTGGATTCGACAATGCTTAGGGGGAAATATCCGATCCATTGGGAGACACGGATTCCCAGTGATATTAGAGAGATCAGCGTGGTTTCCACGGCGGCGGTTGCAGTATGGATCTTCGATTCCGGATGGGCTTTCATAGTGGTAAATTTGTACAAGAATAAATTTTTACGTGGTCAGGATTTCGCAAACTTTAGATGCCGATGGATAAGCTAATATTAAAAATAAAACTTATTATCAAATGGAATAATTATGGATAATTTGTTGACAAACGGTGTATACACTAGTTAGTAAAATGTGCTGAAATTATGATGTCGCACCCTCACTTCCTTGATTATTTTACTTGACAAATGTGAAATTTTTTCATATTTCATATGTACTGAATGTACATATGTATAGAAATATGCATGTGATTTGAATTAATATGTTGATAGGCAATTAGGAAATTGCTTCATTCACCTGTAATATGTACTCGCACATATACCACAAAAAGTATGTTTATATATATCCAGTTGATCAAATTGTATTGCTGTATTACCAAAATAGTTTCCTCGTTGAAAATTGCAATGGAAATGAGTTAATGCAAATATTAATATGAACTATGTATACTATACATGGTATGGTATTCGTAATATGAGATATTATGAATTAGTATACTTTCTTTTAAAAATTGTATTCTCGAAATGTCTGTATGCATAGAGTTATAAAATTGGTACATATATGAACTAATATTGTATACGTAAATGTATATGTATTTAGTATAGTTAATAAGTACATAGATAGGTGATAAATTACTTGAGAATTTGGCCCATGTCAGTCAATTCTTTACAAATATCTACTTATTTATAATGCATTCAAATGCATCATCCAGAATTATAGTTTTGCATATTTATGTGTGATGGTCAGGATCACATTCACTGTCCCGATATTTAACAAGTCTCAATCCAACACATGTAACTTTACTTAAGTAAAGACAATGTTCAATGATGCAAGTATGCACATATGCCACCATGCATTCCCATGAAGGATTTTAGAGACTCCCATTAAAAGTCATCATGGGAATATATGTATTCTCAAATAAAATGTTTTCTCACAAGTTCACGAGTCAAGTTTATGAGGCAAGTTTACTACAATTTGGTCTGTGATGTGATACACAAGTAAATAAGGATTTCCAGCTAAGATTGTGCGACTCGATCAGTCAGATCTCACCCACTTACGACTTACTGTATTTCCAATATTTAGCACAGAACATTTTCTTTAGATTTAACGGCTGGACACATCCAACAAAGCATTTTTTCCATTACCAACTACAGTTTACTTACAAAAAAGGTGCAACCAAATCTTTCTGAAAGTTCAGGTATACAAATCTTAATTCACAAGTATTTACATATATATTTAAATTCTTATTTCGTTTCTCACCATAATGATCAGGTAAGAATTGGAATGTGCAACACTAGCTAAACTACGGTTTTCTCACTTTTGACTATTTGTCGGAGATTAAATCTGAAATTTTTTACCATGTGCATTTGTATGTAAATATCACTTTTCACATGAGTTACTAAATCGAAAATAAATCCGTAAATTTCATCTTAAGAACCACCCTGTTTCAATCGCGATGGATGCATGTAATGATCATTCTGTGGCAGGAGGTAAACTGGAGCAAGTCTGTAATGTAAGCTGTACTATTATTATTATTATTTGTACACTTCAATTATACAGTTTACAAATATGTATGAATATTTGCAGACTGTGTAATCATTGAAATACATTGTTATTCCATTCAACTTTCAGATCAATGCACACCAGGAGATACAATCGTCCAGTCATTCCGTCGTACCGTGGATTGCGGTATTCATATTCTTAGTTGGAGTGATTTTGTGCATTAGAAAACTGATTGAATATCGAGATCGTCAAAACTGGTATAACACAATTATAAATGGAATCGGTATCGTGACCTTGGGCTTCGTCTACTGTTGGAGTCCTTCTCTGTCAATTCTAGCATCCTTTGTAGCTGCAATAAGGGAATTGCGAAGAAACTAAGATTGGGTTAAACGTAAGCCAATAAATATGTATATGCATGTGTACTTACAGAGATGATCCTGAGTTTATAAAGGCAATTTTTTCTCGAAAGTTAAATGACCTCTGACACCGATGTAATCAATCGATTCATATAATGTTTGCATTTCTCGACTTTAAAACCTGATAATCTTTAAGCCATATTTACGGAATTTCAATAAATATCACCATATGTCATATGTACATTTGTACGAATGTGTGTCTATGTACATGATGTGTATCTGATAAAACGTATATGTATAAATACACGGACTTTTCATAATTGGGTATGTACGTACATGCATACTTATATTTATATTCATGTACAGATATGCGCATAAATATTCGACATGTTTGTTTTGCAATTCTGCTGTATTTCAAAGAATTTGTTACACTATTTATGTATAGATAAATAAAGATATAAGTTCAATGTCGCAAACCCAAAAATTATTCTAAAAATCACAAAATAGACCCTTCATTTCCATTCATATATTGCATATGTAATAAATAATGTTCGAAATAAATTCAAATTATACCCCTAATCATCTTTACCCCGCCTCTGCCAGTAAATGATTATGCCTTTCACTCAAATACC